TTGTTATTAGTTGGCAGATATATCTCATCTCATGGCTTTCTCTGAATAATAAAACAGCAATAATTAATTGGCAGCAGCAGCACTGAAACTGAAAGAAAACTTGAAGGTTTTTAGTCAAAATTTGTAATGATGTTTTTTTTCTCTCTCTGTCACTTTTTGTCAGCAGTATTTTAGTTTAGTTCAAAGATTAGATTAGATTGCGTTTCTGAATCTTCAAAAACAAATGTTTAAAATGTTTTCATTCTTTGTCTGTTGTCTTTCCACCGCAACAAAAAATTATTTTTCTAACAATTTTTTTTTTTTTCTAAATTTTTTTTTTTCGTTACTAATAACATTATAGATGAAATTAGAAATAAAATTACGTTAGCTACATGAACTTTAAGGACGAAATTCTGTTATAAATATTTTATTCTCTCCGTCCCACGTACCGTGTCTGCTACACTGTAGACACGGTATTTTAAGAGGGGTATAATTAGTAGATAATTAAGAATGTATTAGTGAAAATAATTATCCGATAATATAAATAACTATAAATTAAGATTAAGATAACTAATTAGTTTAATTAAATTTTTTAAAAAAAAACAATTAAAAAGTTTAAAATGAGATTAAAATGTGTAATTATTTTCCAAAAAATGAAAGTGACATGGTATATGGGATGGACATAAACGACAACGTGGACATGATATATTTGACGGAGAGAGTATTTTTTTGTAGGGGTCTGTGTATCTTCTTTCTGAATCCTCTTCAACTCTAAAGATAGACCCTACCCTACCTATCTTACTCCCTCCGTCCCATGTAATATGAGTGTATTACCGTAGACATAGGAATTTAGGTAAAGTATAATTAGTAAATAATTAAGAAGTATATTAGTGTAAATAATTATTATTTAGTAAAAATAATTATAGATTAAGATTAAGATAAGTAAATAGTTTAATTAAAATTAAGAAAATTATTAAATTTAAAATTTAGAATGCGATTAAAGTGCATAATTATATTTTCAAAAATACAAAGAACAAATTATTTGAGACGAACGAAAATATAAAATATGGATAAATTATGTGGAACGGAGGGAGTATTAATTTAGCGTGCATTCACATCTTAATTTAATATAATTTTTTTAAATGACAAGAATTTAATTCAAGAAATAAATATTCTTGAGCACCTGCATGGCAGTGGCACTGTCCTCATCACCCTCACACACAATAAATATTTATTGTGTGTACCTGCAAATTCTTGTGAATGATTAATAATAATAATAATAATAATAGCAATAATATATGTGGACAAAATAATCTTTAAGAATCATGATTCGCTAGTAATTTGATAAACCTAGACAGACTAGACTCCAAGGCACGTGATAAAAGTAAATAATCTAATTATTATTAGCTCCGTGTCTCAATCAATTGTTCATTTTTTATATATTTGTTTATAAAAAAAATATAATTAGTATAATTTAATTATATTTTATATTCTTTACTATTTATAATATTTTTAATTTTAATTTATAATTATTTTTACTAATATATTTTAAGTTATTTACTAATCATATTTTACTTAAATTTGCGTCTTTGCAATAATATAAATAATTTAACTGGAACGAAAAATGTACTTCCTCCGTCTTATAAATATAGTTTTAATTGTATTGGACACGAGATTTAAAAAATATTAATATTATATTAATAGTGGGTAAAAAATATAGATAAAAGAATTTTTTGCTCTTGTGTATTAGTATAAAAAGTAATGACAATTATGTAATAAAAATGAAAAAATAGGGATAATTTTATAGTGATATGGTTATTTATGGAAATAAAACTATTATTTTGGGACAAATAAAAATAGTAAACAAGATTATTGTATTGGAACGGATAAAATATTATTTATTATCAAAAAAAAAAAAGAGTTGATAATTATCGAGGCCTGTAACCTAACTACAAAATAAAAGAAATTTTTTTATAGTTTTTTAGTTTCCAAAGAAGAGCTTCATTTATTATTTTTTTTCATATAAAATTCTGAATATTTAAAAATATTTTTATTAGCATTATGTAATATAAAATTAATGATATTTATGTAATATATTATAATTATAAATATATTTATCATGTTAATACTAAATTTAAAAAGTAAAATTTTTATTTTAAAATTGATAAAAATAAAAAATAATATCATTTTTATAAGACTTACAGAGTATATATATATATATATATATAGCCTTAATTAGGGACACTATCATTACGACCATTTTGTCATGCTCTCTATTTCTATATAAAATTTAATTTAATTAAATATTACAAGTATTACTTTTTTACCATGTGTATATATACATATATATTATCGTGTTAATCCGATTTATATTTTTTTGCTTCATTTTTTTAAAAAGAATTACATATTTAGTTATATTAAAAAAATTTAATTTATATATTTTAATTTCAATTAATTAATTATATTAATTTTAATTCATATTAATTTTTATTAATATATTTTAAAATTATTTTTACTGATATATTTTTAGTTATTTACTAATTACATTATTTTTAAAATAATGTATAAGATCTAAAATGTAGAATAGTTTTTTAATTTAATATGTTCAAAACATAATGTATTGATAAATATTGTAAAAGTGAATGTAAATGAGTAATTGAATGAGAATCATATTACATATATACTAAAAAAAACTATTTAAATCAAGCAATTTTATAGCAATAATCATGACGATAATATTGTAGGTTGGTTACCTTGCAACAAAAAATATATATAGATATATATAATTAATCATGGATCACTCCCATATTCAATCATAATGATATATTCTCACATTAATTCACATGAACTAACTAATTAATTAATTAAAAATTCCATCTTTTCACCAAACCCTAATGCAAATCATAACAATCATAATGCCTTGCACCCAATTCAACAGATAGACAATCATAACATTCAGAAATTTTGATCTGACCAAAGCTTCACTGACTGATTAATTAACCCACCCCAACATATTTAATTAAATAGTATATATTATGGCATGGGGATCAATATCTTGGACAAGATGATAGGCTTTGGCAATTATATTTGGCATCACCCGACCCCTTTGTAATTTCTTATTGCAAAATTAAAGCAACCATCATCATAATAACAAAACCAATAATATATAAAGGATGCAATAAATTTTCTTTGCAATGATGACTTCTTTCTTTCTTTTCTTTTCTTTCTTTTTTTTTTGGGACCAAGACCAAGCTCTGTTTATTATCCCTTAGCCAATACGCGTTTGCTCGTGTGGTCTACAGTCAATCATCATCCTCGATCCCTTTAATCTTTATTTTTCCAATCCCCACAAAAAAAAAAAAAAAAGAAGAAGAAGAGAAATTCCTGTTTTATGGTCATGATCTCTTTGTTTTTGATTAAGCTGATAAGACATTTGTGTATATGTATAAGTTTCAAATTCATTAATCATGATCCCAACCCAATTCAACCACTTTGTTAAATTCCATCATCGTTGCAATTATCATCGACACATATAATTAATGGAATGGAAGACCCAAAGGTTAAAAAAAAATAAAAAAAGACAAACCACATAATTAATAGAGAATAATTAACGACACAAGCATGCAATCATCATCCTTTGATTTTTATATATCATTTTTCATTATTGTCAATCAGACGAATTGAAGGAATTTTCTTATGATGATTATCAATAATTAATTTTGCATTTACAATTAATAATAAAAATGATCGATCTATCTATCTATCTATCTTGTTGGGAAATTGAAGGGGAACAATTAATAGGAGTAATTAATGCCATCATTTTATTTATTAAATATATTTTAATAATAATATCAATATCATTCAGCCCACACTTTGTAAGATAATTAATTAATTAATTAGTTAATCATGCAGCCCTAGCTAATTCATTATGTCCCAATGTGTAATCATAAGAACTAACTAACTTACATATTAATTACTACATTTTTTATAGACTCAAATGCCGTTACTGTGCACCAACACCTCACCTATAACTATAAATCTACACTACATAATATATACATTAATATTCCTAATAAACAAATTTAAATTAAATTGGATGACCTCAATTCATTTAGATAATAATGAGCATCAACTCTAAACATATAGGGTGGGTTTGGATGATTTTAATATAATTTAATTTTTACTTATAACATATATTCTTCTCAATTTTATTCCCACCTCACCTCATCATCTTCATTAATTATTTAATTTATAATATTCATAAAGTAGAATGGGTTTGCATGATTTTATTTAATTTTTGCAGCTCCACAATTAATTAATTGACTACTACCTAATTAATTAGTTAAGATGGTTACTCACTCTACTATATACTATCATCACCTCTTTTTCTTTTTTTTATTAGTAAAATGGCCCAAAAGTTAATTTCGTCGCAAGACATTTGCGACTATTTAGAGCCTCAAATCGATATTTTTGTAATTTTGAGATTGTTTCTTTTCCAAAAAGACATTGGATTTATTTTTCTTTTGGCATTTCGAAACCTATAAAGTTTTTTCTCCTTTATTTAGTTCTCTTCGTCTATCTTTCATCCAAAAAAAAAAATAAAAATCAATTTAAAGCTCAATCTAGATGACTAAGAAACGTCGAACTTCACTTTTTGCAATGAGTTTGACATTTGGACTGTTTCGGATCAATCGCATGAATTTCATCCAATTTCAGACACCAATACAATTTCTTTTATAAAAAAAAAGAAGAAAAATTGACAAAATTCCATTAATACCATATTACATTATATCATAGTATATTATCATAGCTGGATTTTAAGTTAAGGGAGAGAGGGATCCGCAAGACTAACATTACTTGGGCCCATCCTTAATGGGCTTTGACAGTTTGCCTCAATCTTCCCCACTTGGCCCAACTTTATTTTTTGGGCTTCTAATGGACAGCACTCACTATTTTGGTCCTAGCTCATTCTTCAAGCCCAAAAGTCTGTTTGATAAAGGGTAGGGTAGGAGATGAGATGATGACAATGGATGGCGATTGCACGTAACTGTGCAAAGCGCTCTTTCTCTGATATTTATCCTCAGCCAGGACTTTTATTCCCATTTTCGCTTGCAATTCGATGCGGACGATACGATACTACAGAAATTCAGTGTGCTAGAGATATATATATAAAATTTGGAAGAAACGGAAGTGGAGATTGAAGAACGCAGGTGGGAGGCGGATTCTTGTTATTATCATTTGTACTCTTTCGATGTATGCTTGGAATTTTCTACGCCTGATTTATGTTCTCTCGCTTGTTGGAATCGAAATCCATCGGATTTTGCATAAATTTTCCGCTGTAGTAATCCGTATTCTCTATGCTTCTGCATTTTCGATTTACTTTTTGTCTTTTTCTCTTGCTTTGTGAAAAGTAATGATTCTCTCAGAGTCGGAGACTTATGACTGCACATCTTCAATCTCTGATTAGAGATCTTTTTCGTCTTCAAGCATGATATATGTCTGGGATAGTTAACCTTATAGTAAGTAGGGGAATCGTAGTTAACTACGCATTCTGAAGATTGAATTTGGGGTTTTAGTGCATCATGAATAGAAGGAAAAAAAGTTAGCACCAGTGTACGACTGCTCATCTGAAAAGTAGGAGTATATGCTTGGTTTCCATTAGTATCCGGATATCGTCATTGCTGTTCAGAGAAGTGGATCATTTTTGCGTTTCAGGTTGTAATTCAAGATGACACCTGTTTGCCCTTTTACAAAAGCTTCTCGCCCTGATGATGCATCTAGCAAAAAACCAGGTGAACACCAAAATAAACAGCAGGCATCCAATGAGAACAAGCCTCAGCAAGACTCCATTGTTGCACCCAAATGCCCTCTTGGATATGATTCTCAGACATTTAAGATAGGCCCTCTCAGTTGCGTTATATGCCAAGCACTTCTTTTTCAATGCAGCAAATGTGTGCCTTGTTCCCATGTATATTGCAAGTGAGCGAAACATAAACAACTACTGTCCTTGTTTATCTCATATATGAAGTTGGTACTTGGTGAATCTCATTACTGCTTCTTTGTTAGAAGTTAAATTAATTCGCACAATTCTTTACCTGCAAACTAGGGCATGCATATCAAGGTTCAAGGATTGTCCTATTTGCGGTGCTGACATAGAGAAAATAGAAGATGACGCTAATCTTCAAGGTGTTGTTGATCGTTTCATTGAGGGTCATGCCAGGATCAAGAGGTCTCAAGTTGACACTGAACAGGATGAAAGAGAAGATGATAAGAAAACAGTGATATATGAGGATGTGTCACTTGAGCGAGGTGCTTTCTTGATGCAGCAGGCCATGAGGGTGAGTTTTACATATTTCATTTTTTGCTCTAGCCAAGTGAGTTTTATCCTCTTTAGAACCAAGTAGCTAACACTCAGCTCGCCAATAAAATTTCATATTAGCTACTGGCTTGCTTGATTTCTTTCTATTTCTGTTCTTACATTACTTGTTTTGCATATAGGCACTTCGAGCCAATAACATAGAAAGTGCAAAATCAAGGCTTAGCATGTGCACGAAGGATGTCAGAGAACAATTGGAAAAGACAGGGAACACACCTGAGTTATGCTCTCAGCTAGGAGCTGTTTTAGGGATGCTTGGTGATTGCTGGTAACGTGTTGGTTACATTTGTATGAATCCCATGTGTGTTGAAAAGATCATTATATGCTGACCTTGGTACTTATTTCAGTCGAGCTACTGGTGATGCTAGTTCTGCCATTTCCTACTTTGAGGAAAGTGTTAATTTCTTAATGAAAATACCCAATGATGATTCTGAGGTAAAGATTTATTTTCTTACCTTGATGATATTGTTGATCCACAGAACTTCTATTTCCATTGAATGTGAGCTTTGTGTAATTTTTACATTTTTAACTTGTGCAGATAACGCATACACTTTCTGTGTCACTGAATAAAATTGGAGATCTAAAATACTATGAAGGGGATTTGCAAGCTGCTAGATCCTATTATTCTCAGGGTTTGGATGTTCGCCGCAATGCAATGAGTCATCATTCCACGGTTCCCACTCTGGTGAGCAAACTAACCTACTTTATTATTATTTTTCTTATGATCAGTGGGTTTTCGGATGTGATTCTAGAATAAGTTGCGGATGTTCCTGGTTGAAAATATTGGCATTTGAAGGTGAAATTTTCAAATCTGGTTATATAGAGAACACAATCTGGCACTCAGCTATTTAAAGCTGATTGTTATAATTGTGTCTTTGGCACCAAATTTTTATTTTAAGCTTCACTATCTTTAGTTTTTGAAAATTCTCAAATCCTGATCCTCGAATGGAATCACTTGTGAACAGAAATGAATCTAATATGGCATGGTAGCCACAGCCCTGTATGTTCTTTTTCCTTTATGTTTTCGTCTCCTGATGGTTAATTTAGGTCATAGATGTGGCTACATCCCTTGCCAAAGTTGCTGATGTAGATAGAAACCTGGGGAATGAAGATGCAGCAATTGCTAATTTTCAAGAAGCTGTTAAATTGTTGGAATCGTTATCAACAAGCGCTTCTGATGTTGGTCTCGAAAACCGGGTGGGTATAACTTAGTTCATTTTCGTATCTATTGTAGAGATTTTCCTTCAACTTCAATTACATTGCCAACTGTCCTCTTCTTGCAGCGCCTTTCTGTCCTGGAGTTTCTCAACGGCCAACTAGGAAAAAAGTAGGATTATGCTCTTCCCGAGCAAGCAGTTCGATCTCTCAAGGAGACTTATAATGCCGAAGCTTTTTACACAATCTGGCTGTTCTGTAATAAAAGTTTACTGAAGATTACCAGATTTTGTTTGGTGTTGAACTTGTGAAAGTTCTTCAGCATAGCTGCAATGCTTCTTGGACTTATTGTGTAATGATACGACGATGAAGAAAAAGAGAGATGCTTTCCACTGTACATGGTTTTGTGTTTTGGTATGAGATGAAAAAGCATGAACTTTCAATTTTCAGTGATCATGATTATCGAACAAAATCCCTGAATTGCAAGCAAAATCTGAAATTGTTTTTTCAATAATTTCACAGCATATGTAGGACAGGGAAAAGGACATAGTCATCTATAGATCACGTGTGGTTTCTTTACTTGGCATCATGTTCGACAAAAAGAATCCGCTGCTGTAGCAGTACAGGATTAAATATGCTCGGGATTAAGCGTCACTGGTTGTATGCACGGTTAAATCCTGCACGCCGACATCATGGTACAGGCCGTGAACATATCGAAGTATTGGGAGATCATCCACTCCCTTCTTCACCTGTAATCCAGCGATTATTTAGAACCGATCAAGAAAGGCGCGGGGATATTGTATACGAGTCATTTGTTGGTCTTACCAGAAGTGATACCGATCCAACAACATAACCTGGTACCAATTCCCAAAACCGAGCCTCGGAAACCTCTGCAACATCTTCATGAGAATTGATCTATGCCAAAAAAGAAACAGGAAAAATAATCGTACTGGCGCTTCCTTGCAGTGTCACATACCACTACGAATATTGGGTATTTCTTTACCTGTCTCCAGCATTTGCTCAAGGCCGAGGAGGGTACGCTAGGTGGTGCCATCTGTAGTAAAATACCACCTGTGGCTTTAAAAAGCGGCATTACAAGCATAAAAATAGTGACAGAAACCAGTCCCAAGCACAAGACCTCGGCATTGTTAACTCTACATGAAGTGGAAAGAACCGGCAACAACTCGGGGTTAGGGGAAATAACAAAATGAACCCATGTCTTCTTTAGAAGTTTAGATCATAAATTTACCCGAGGCTAAGCAACCAAGACGCCAGAATTAATCCTGCACTGAGAAGCAATTGTAGTACCATAGCTTAAAATCTAGTAATACAATACCAAATGAGAGATCTGAATAGCCAAAAGCAATCTGGAGTTTTGCTCATACCTGCGGATCGAATCAGCCAGCACATGTAAGCAAACAGAGTGATAGTTCATATCTTCAGGTTTTCTGTAAACTGCAATGACAAAAGGATGAGAGAACCTAATTATCGGGATACAACAAGCTAATGTGGAGATTATCGACAAAGTGACATGTTCTGAGCCCCATCAGCAAGATAAATCTCATCTCCCATGGCTTATACTACTAAATATGTTAAATCTAGTAATTGAAAATTGTACATATGGGTAACAGGCTTCCACGAGAACAGTGGCATTGGATCAATCAAGTCCAAGAAGAGAACATATGCATCCAATTTATAAGGAATAACTATACAAGCAACATAGGTAGATTTTTTGTTTGTGGAATATCAACAGTGTGTTCATTGTTTAAGATTGTAGAATTGTTAATTAACCCTACTGCTGAAGCTGTAGTAACAAGATTATACAGAAGGGTTAAACAAGATTTATTTGGTGCTCATCAAAAGCCTTCGTTCTGTCAGTGGACAGACAACACAGCAAATCAAGGAAGTGGACTGGAGGGATAAGCTAAAAACAAAAATTAGGCATATCAGCGTAAGATGCGTACCAAGATTAACTCGGGCATAATTTCTGAAGAACCAAACGCCAATGAGATTTACCAGCAAATTTGTGACGGCAGAGACGATCAAGTAATGCCTATCAGCATGAATGCAGCAACACTGTTAATGATGCTAATATATTTTCCCCTAGCCCCTTCTTCTCATTCTTCTTAGACTCATGCATTTCATTAATTTTCCCTTTATGTTTCAAGTTACAGTGTGATTTAAATTATAAAAATAAGTACAATATTTGAAGCATGTAACGATTGTCACCAGGTAGCACAACAGAAATCATATAAACTAAGAAACAGTATATACAAAGAAAATAAAATAAAAAAGATTGTTTCAAGGACTGAATTCCCAAATTCTAACAGGAAAGATTCATTTCGATCTCTTAGCATTGAAGACTAACATAAAATTTAAAAATTTACACAACTTACTTGTGCTCAGATTCATCTTGTATAAATGCATGAAGAGCTTCCACAGCCAACGAGAAAGACAGAAACAAAAGGAATAGCTGTCTACACAAAAACCATGCAAGTGAATGAGTAATACATGCTATGAAAGCAGGAATGTGTAATTCGGCCCGGGGGGCATAAAGACTATGGCATATAATGATATAAAACTTATAGTAAAAGCACAAGTGTGTATCTCTAGAGAAACAGCCCATGGATTCAAGAAATACATAACCAAATGCATAAACTACTTACAGCATTTGTAAAAGCTGATAAAACTTCTAGCCTTTTGTACCTGTTGCAAAGACAATGAGCCTTTAATCGCCAATCATGTTTTCCCCTTTCTCTATTTCAAAATCATAACTTCATACTTCCAGATTAGTCGGGATAAAATTAGAGTTACTAATACTGACCAATTGTTTCAAACCACAATAATTAACTTGCTTTCCAGGCTCAGTGCTTGGGTTCAAACAAAAGACTTGATAGAAGTTCAAAAAAGAAAATTACAAAGTATAGGCTATACCCGTATGTGTACGTGCTATCAGGTTTTTGTCGAGAAGCTGCCATTGCAAATAACGAAAATGACAGGAGCCCACAGCCAAATGTCAAATGAAATGCATCTGATATCAAGCCTGAAACAACATTAAAACTAAAAGGCAATCATCAAAAGGGCATTTGATTAAATAAACCCCATAAAGATCACCTCATTTTATATTTCCCGATATCATCGTCTGATTCAGTAAGATACAACTGTCTGCAAGGCCAAACTAAGAATTCTAGATCTTGCAATTTGTTCAGCACACGTATACGATTATAAGTTATTACTCTATGTGGAATATTGATTTATACAATTAGAGTGGTAAACATAAATTAACTCATCAAGAATCGACTTTGATAGTTTTAGAAACAGAATCATCTATGCCATTGCCATCCACCAATTCTAGAGACAGCCAAAGCTTAAAGCAATCCATGGGAATTCGAACTATCAAGAAAGACAAAAAGTTCAAAATCTAACTGATATTAAGTGATTATTATGTGAAAGATTTTCAACTCTGTTTACAATACATTCCGTTAACACATTCAATTACTCTTAAGGCAAACACTGTCATCCATTTTCAATACTATAGAGACAGATAAATCGTTGAAACCTTCAAGTTACCATACACAATTCAGATATTGAGGAAGAAACCAAAAATTCATACCAACACGACCCGTGAGAAGGCCAATTATCAGCTCAGCCGTCGAATACGCTACATTCAATGAAATCAAGACGAACAAACGCCTCATCGGCTTGTTCCCAGACCTTAATCCCCCCCAAATCAATGAAACGTATGAAAAAGCCGAAGCCTTCTCATCAAATTCATTCGAGTATGCAAGCTTGGGAACCTCCAAGAAACTGCCCGGCGGAATATCTATGCTAGAAACGTTCCGCGAAAGAAAAGGTTTCGGAGTGTGGGGGTCGCCCATCACATTTTTATGCAAAGAAGCTTGACGAGAGAAGACGAACCGCCGATCGATGCTTTCCCCGGAGCCCAAATGCCCGGAGTGGGACGCCGGAGAATCGGTAAGCTTCTGGTAGTCAAACGAATTCTTCTCACGAAAAATACGCGAAGAATTGTCCATCACCTGCCGCGATGGGAATCAAAAGGAAATAAAAAAATCACAATACTTATTTTTCCAACAAATCTGAGATATCTTAGAGCGACTGGCGACCGTCTCCTCTCCCCAGTCAAGAAGCTAAGATTGAAAAGGACAAAGTAGATTTTACTTTTATTACATGCCGGCACTAAATCAAATTGATTGAAAAACCAAAACGATGGAAAACGACGAAAGGGGCATTCCGAGAATTGAACTCGGGACCTCTCGCACCCTAAGCGAGAATCATACCACTAGACCAAATGCCCTTTACGTGATAAACATTGTTCTTGAAATGTTTCTTTAATTCATTTTGAAACCAACGTTACATGAAATCGAACAACGAGAAACACTAAAACACAGAAAAAAAAAAAAAAATGGAAGGATCTTTGGAGGAGATGAAGAAATTTGCTAGAAGTTCTGCTGGAGATGATACACGACGCTCTTATCCACCTGGAATGCCTTGGCGAGGACATCAACTCCAATACTGGGCTTCGATGCAAGAACAGCGTTTGCAATGGTGATCACCCCCGGATTCTGGCTGCTCAGCGCGGCAATGGCGACGGCATTCCCAGTTCCAGCATTTTTCTGAAAGTGAACGAGTCCCACCGGAAACACGAACACGTCGCCCTTCACCAGTGTCTTCGTGATCAGCCTATTGTCAGGGTTCGAGGTCACGAACCCCACCAGGAGACTGCCCTCGACCACCGTCAGGATCTCGGTGGCTCGGGGGTGGGTGTGGGGTGGGTTGATTCCCCACGGCGCGTAGTCGATACGGACCATAGAGATTCCAAGAGTGTTGAGGCCGGGCACCTGGGTGACACTGACTGGAGTGACCTTGGAGCCATTGGGGTTCGATGTGTTTCCAGGGAGGTGCAGCCCAGTGAAGGAGAAGTCATTGGCTACAACTGATGCAGGGCTCTTACAGGCCTGTCCGTTCACTTTCACTGCCAATTATTAATCACCACAATTAAAACCGCATTATTCGTCAATTGCACTAAATCTTTTCTAATTGCAGATGGATTTGTTATTATTTTGTTACCTGAACTGGTGGCATCTGCAACGCAGAAGTCCTGCAATGGACTAGGCTCGAAAGCACGTGCAAGCAAGACGCAAGACAGGGCTACCAGGCTCAATACAACAGCTTGTTTTCCCATTTGATTGAGTTTGAGTTCTCAAGAAAATTTGCTGATGGAGAAGTACATTTTTGTGGCTACCAAGTTCAGTATTTATGGAGGTTCCCATCAATTATTCTGTTGTCTTACATGGGAAAGCCGTCCGTCTACCGGCCCGGGGAAATGGTTTTCAATACTGTCCCAGAAGAGTGCTTAGTTATGGAAAGACTGCAGGATAATCCTGGGCAAGAAATGGTCAAACCTGATTGGCAATGGCAGACATTAAAGTAATTCTCAAGAACCTAATTTTTTGACATATGTATAGCTAAAGAACTCATCAATGATGTGGCCGTTTGGGCCCTAATTATTTGTCTTGCTGTGTGGATTTCATCTCTCATTTTTAGCTTATTCTGTTTGTCACCAGATGTATCTGCAAATTCTATTTTAATTCCCTCAACATTAAGGATGTACCTGTGGCATTTTTCAGGTTTTGGATTTCTCATGGAACTGGTCAGTAGTCATCTCCTTCCGTTATCTTTCAAGAACGTTAGCATATATTTTAATCCTCAGATGTCTAGAGGAGATATTGATCAATCCAAACAGAAGACGGCGTTTGATTTGTCTTATTCTGAACATCATTGACCATTTCATAGTTAGAATAGAATGCAAAATCTACGCCTGCATTGATCTGCAAAATAAGATGCCAAAGATTCTCCTGCACCTGGAGACCATGTCAAAGAAAGAATTCCCCATCTCATCGACATTTAATGGAACCATGATCATCCATCCTTGTATAAATACGTGCCTTACCAGCAGCATTGATCGAAACATCATAACAAGTTCTTCTATATCGTTAGTAATTAACTGTTCTTCGGCTTCAACTTGAAATGGCGAAGCTTGGTCTTTTATCTAGTATAATTGCTCTTACTTTCTGCTGCATTGTCTTTGCATACGAACCGAGCCCTTTGCAAGATTTTTGTGTGGCTGATGCCTCAAGCTCAGGTACAATAAAACATTGATTTTATATATAAAATCTTAGAATTCAATGCATCAATGATCTGAATGCTTTGCTTACATACAATTTCAGCAAAAGTGAATGGACTGCCCTGCAAGAGCCCTGCATCAGTACAGGCCGATGATTTCTCCTTCGCCGGGCTACACTGGCCCGGAAACACAAAGAACCCTGTAGGTTCGGCAGTCACTCCAGTGACCGTTGCGCAGGTTCCAGGGCTGAACACACTCGGCCTGTCGTTGGCCCGTATAGATTATGCCCCTATGGGAGTCATCCCCCCTCACCTGCACCCAAGAGCTACTGAAATCTTGATACTTCTTGAAGGCAGTCTTGAAGTGGGCTTTGTGACATCAAATCCCGACAACCGTCTCATCTCAAAAACGCTGCAGAAGGGCGATGTCTTCGTGTTCCCTGTGGGACTCATCCATTTCCAGCGCAATGTAGGGAATGGATATGCCATTTCATTGTCTGGATTGAGCAGCCAGAACCCTGGAGTGATAACTGTCACAAACGCAGTTTTCGGGTCGAAACCGGACATTAGCAGTGACGTCCTTGCCAAGGCATTCCAGGTGGATAAGGCCATTGTGGATCAGCTCCAGGCCAAGTTCTAGATGATCAAAATTTATCTGTAGCTGTTCACCATTTCAGCCTATCTGTTTCCACTTCTAATTCTGATTTTGAATGCCAAGTGTTGAATGAATTATTTCAGTTGAGAACATCATAGTACATACTAAATACAAGAAAAGCTGTCAGAAAAGAACATGGATTGGATTGGAGCCATGAAGAATAATAATAATAATAATAATAATACTCCATAAAGAAAGCATATAAAATTTCAAGCCCAACGGCTATATCTTAATTGCTTGATGAATAAATTTCAATAAACCCCTGGATCTCATTCCAACGGTCGGTTTTTTCTTACCTGATTTAACTTCTTCTTTGCCATTGCATAAACTTCACAAATCTGCCCGAGGATACCCATCAAACATCGCCATCTTCACCAAGGTTTCTCAGGATTAATTTCCCGGATATATAGTTATGGAAAATTCTAACCCCAACATTGCTAAAGTGCAGCACGTGGCGAAATCGTCCTCAGATCAGCTTCTGAGGAAATTTGCGGAGGTGGGTTCCGATTCAGAAACCAAAATTTCATCTAAAGAGTTGAGATTGGCGAAACGCACGAAAAGAAGCCAAGGGAAGAAGGGCAGTGGTGATTGCAATGCCAAGAGCTCCGGTAATGGTAGTACTGGTTTTGCAGAGCGGAAAGCACTTCTTCCATCTTCAGCTTCTCGCAGACCAATGGCGTTGATTCGGAGGCTGGGTAAGGCCAGGATCAAAGCCAGGGAGTTCACGAACAAGTCTTTCATCACTGCCATTGACGAGGTTTGTTCAGATTTGAATTTAATTGCTTCTGTAGATATAATTCGACTGCTCAGCTAATTGGGGCTTATTGATGCAGACATGGCGTTTGGCTGTGGGAAAGGCTTCTAGGGCTTTGATGGAGAAGCATTACTACAATCGCCATAAACGCCTAATAAACGACTCCAATTGGTAAATCCAAAGTGCACTGCAGCTTTTGATTCTTGAATTTGTGCATTAGGTTGGATTGAGCTAGCCCTAATGTTGTAACAGATACTTTAGTTTTTTGCAATCCTGTTATTTGAATCTTGTCATTTAATTGAGTGCTGTTTGTTGTAAACTAAAATTTGAATGTTTCAGATAGTATGTAAATATACATATATATATATATAAATCTTTTTAAGTTGAATACAGTGGTGTGTTATTAGGTTGGATTGAGCTAGCCCTAATGCTGTGACAGATACTTTTTTGTTTTTTGCAATCCTATTATGTGAATCTTGTCATTTAAATTAGTGCTGTTTGTTGCACACTAAAATTGGAATGTTTCAAATAGTATGTAAATATATATATATATATATATATATTAAGTTGAATACAGTGGTGTGTTATTTGGTTTTGCTGTAACTTGGCATATTCTTGTATTGATCACACCTTGAAATAGGATATGAATGTTTGTTTGGATTATTGGACCATGCTTTTGCTTCCCAGTTCCCAGTAGTATGTTGTCCCTATTTGGGCTTATCAAATTCAAATTTTGGGGTGTCCATTCTTTTCACAAAGTGAAACTTGTGGAATTGTAATAAACCTCCTATGATGATTCTATGCTTACTTGATGATTAAATCTTTAGCTTGTAGAGCTTATGGAGGTGCAAAATAGTTAAGCATTACAGGGAAATAACTCTTCTATTTGATAGCAGTGTTGTTGTTGTCATATCAATACTCATCATAATAATTCTTGTTCATTTATATGTGGTGGTGTGGTGTTATGCATCTCAAAAATACAACCAATAGCTTGTTAGTACTGGCTATGATTTTAGGCTTGTGTTCTAGAAGAAAGGGAGGAGGGTCTCTTCTCTAGGACACGTATGCTGTGCTGCAATCTAACAGATAAAGGATTCCTTAAGAAGCTTAGTTAAAGTTGTCAAGGAGTGTAGACTTCTAACATGAAAGGGGCAGCAGTAGTGCATATAAGGAGACAGCACTGCAAGGTTTTGAACTATAATTCACGTTCTATTGCACCTGCTTTTTGCACTTTTTCTCCTGTTCTTGGTTTGCTGCAGATAAGGCTGTCACAATAAGTTCATCTAATAAAGGTGCATCATAAACACTTCCCACTTGTGATCCATTAACCATCACACTTGACAATTTTCACATATGTTTTCTCCATAGTATTTGTTCTGTTTCCCTTATTAGGCTGACTTTTAAATTTATGAGTTTGGTTGATTGTATAGAGACATATTGTAAAATGGGTTTCAGTGCAAGAGATCTAGTTTTGACCATAGGACTTATTCTTGGTTAGCAGGTGTGTGCAGGTGAAGAGATATCCTAAAGTAAATTTCATCACGAGTAGTATGTGTCAAATAGGATAATAGAAAAAGAACATTGTATTGCCCTCTTCCACACCTTACCCATCTTCATTTATTCCCATTACACAAAGTCATCCAAAATAAGTTGAAAAAAGTGCAAAAGATGGTTTCAAAAAGCGCTAGAAAAAGTACTATAGGACAGTTGAATTTTAATGGCCAAGAAAACCTAGGAGATACATATACACATACACCACACATATATAGTTGGCGAATTTCATTTATTCTTTAAAAAACTGTAACATAACATGAATGTCCAGACATTAAATAAAACAAATTTTCAGGAAATCAGAAGTGCACACACATTATATATAGTCCTTGATCAGCAGAGTTCAATAACTTAGGTAGGTGCCTTTATAAGTAGACTTATGTGTGTGTGTGTGTGTGTGTGTAGCATAGCAAATAGATAGAAATAATAGCTCTTTCTGTATGTATGTATGTATGTAATATGTTACCCCTCTTCTTCCTGCATAAGTAAATATGTTGTCATAAGTGTCTTGCCAACAGTAACCAGAAAAAGAAAACCAGTAATCACATGGATATGAAGGGGAGATGAGATAACGTAGTTTGCATGGCATATGGTGCTGTCGTGGAACTTTATCAGCATTGACTTTTTTTTTTTTTTTTTTTTTATCTCTGTTCCTCTGACAATATAAAATAATGATAACACTTAACCTACGTGGTACCCGACAAATGATTCAATCCCTAATAGTTTAGAGATAGAGAGACAGAGAGTGCTAATTTAAATAAGAATGGAATTACACACAGCAAGTTGAATTACAATTTTCAATGAAAGAATGCAGATTGTTTATTTTATTTTTTAAAATCAAGAACAGATTTGACCAGACTAAAACAAACAATATATTATTGTCAACCTTGTTGTTTTGTAGTTATATACGATGATTGGTTAGAGAGGCATTGACGCCCAAATTTTCAAATGTTATATACCTTGTCATCACCTGTCTTAAATTCAATATGTACACGCAACTGTAAATTTTTGGAAATGCTTACATATGGCAAAACGACCTGCATTAAGAATAATTATCTGTTGCTAAAAAAAACATTACTTCCCAAGATCTTATCAAATCTGTGACCAAGAAAACAATAGCTTCATATGATCTAATTCGTTTTAACACTTATTTAATAAGCAACAAAACAGAAGAAGAAAGTGCAAGCCAACAAACAATTACAGCATAATGCTTGGAACTGTGCTTGTTTGTGACAAAGCCATAAAAATTCTTGTTGCAGTAAAATAAATAAATAAAAGAAAAAGAGAATCTTGTAATAAAACCACAGGTCCACCTCTCCATGAGCTTAAATTATCAATATAAAATAACCACCACCAAGACTGTATGATGAAAGGGATTACTTATACTATACAATATTTCCAGTTGTATCAGTTGCTCCACTTATCAGCCATTACATGTTCATCGCCATATATAGAATTTCCATTCAATATTTTTTTTTTATTATTTTCTTTCTATTTTATAAATATTGAGCTCTGGCTGCTCTTCCTTCGTCAACTTTTCCCCATCTCCCCTCAACAACCCCTCTCTGCAACCCCACAAATTCTCTCTCTCTCTCTCTCTCTCTCTAAACTCTCTCTTTCTACTAAAGCACGCAACGGATACATTAAATTCAAGAACCCGGATCAATTTCTTCACATATCTTGTTCTGTTTTTTTTTATATTTTTCTTCCGGGGAGCAATATCAGCTTTCCTTGCCAAGGAATTTATAGATCACTTATAATTTGGTTAAGTCTCTTCGCTCTTTCTTTGTCTTCTCTGCTCAAAGAAATATTCTTTCCGCATTGCATTCTTGCTTTATTCACTGGAAAATTGCTTGGGAAATAGATGATTGTTTGTGTCACTTTGCATTGATCAATTCTCTGTTGCTGTCTGATGATTCTGTGGCTTTTGTTGCGAGGTCTTATTTGCAGGTTCTAGGTATCGGTTGCTAGTTCTTGTAATAAGTCCTCACCTTTCTTTAATTTCTTGAAATTTGCTTTGGCTTGAATGAAATTTTGGTTTATATCTTCGTATGCAAGTGTTTTGTTGAAACATCTTGCTTTTAGCGGAAAATTTATATATAGATATATATATATATATATATATTCTTGATCGATTATAAATTGTTTAGGTTTCTTGTTTTCCGGGTCTTTGGTGGGTCTGTTTTGCACCCTTGAAATTGATGTTTTAGGGTTTTAATTTTCATATGTCAATTCTCAACTATTTTTCCAGCCACTTTGACCAAATTTACTTGGATCATTTATTTTATGGTATGTCAATTGAAAATGATCTCTTTAGTTCATTCTAATTTTCACACTATCCGTTTGATTTTTCCTGGTCACAATTGTGTCTTGTATTTGATCATATGATTTGCGGCTACTTTGTATTAAATTGACCATTGGTTTTCACAGTTCCCTTTTCGAAACTATTTCCTATTTGTGTTCTGTGATGTCCTTGGATTACTTTTTACTGTGCTGTTTGATCCCTGTGTTTGAAGTGTTTGTAATTCCTATTCCATTCAGGCTTCTCTTTGTCATGAACTTTTGGTAACAAACGTTTCTTTGTTTATAGATTCGACGAAGCCCCACATAATTGATGGTTTAGGACAAGCATTCGTTGCTGTGTGTAGAAAAAAATTGATTCTTTTCCTCATCATTTGATCCAATTTACTGCAAGAAATCCCTGATCTGGTGGGGTTGGATTCTGTGTCAACCTCAAAATCCTAATTCGAACTGCTTCACAAGGAGATGAGGGATGTTTTCTTGGTTGGGAAGAACAGCTTCTTCATGTCTAAGTCCTTTGAGCCAATATGCCCGTATGAACAAGGATGATGAAGAGGAGGTTCTTGGAGGGGAGGATGATGCTCTTCTCTGGTCTAAAGACCTCGAAAAGCATTCCCATGGCGAATTCTCATTTGCTGTTGTCCAGGCAAATGCCGTACTTGAGGATCAAAGCCAGGTTGAGACGGGTAGACATGCCACCTTTGTCGGGGTCTATGATGGCCATGGTGGCCCTGAGGCCTCAAGATACATCTCCGAGCACCTCTTTAGTCATTTACTTAGTGAGGCTTCTCTACTCTTACTGTTATTTATTACAATTGGATGATGTTTAGCTCTTAAATCCTTTATAAATCATAAGCAATAGGAAATATGTCGGTCCTCTGGTGTTGATTTTGTGAAGAAATGGTGACAATTAAAAAAATCTTTGATCCTCTCACTTTGATGAAAAGCGTTTTAACTATGGTGGTAGCGAGTACTGGTGTGTCTTTGCTGCACCTTGTCTTGTTATTGACGCGTTTTTCATCTAACGTGTTTTCTTTGTTGTGCACTTAGATCATTGTGCACTGGTAGCCTTCAAAGGATAGTCAGGTTCAGTTCTCCCAACCTATTTACAACTTCTGCTCTACAGTTCATGAGAAGCATTCATGTTTTAATTATCAATGAATACGGTTAGGAAAGCCATTTTTCTTATAATCCTGTCCTGTGTTGGCTTATTGATGTAATAGTTATGTTTCTTCCATTAGGACAATGGGAAATTAGCAGAGACTGATGTGTGCTGGTGTTTCTACTTTTAGGACTTGCCCGGGAAAACGGAGCAATGTCTGAAGATATCCTCAGGAGTGCATTTTCTGAAACCGAAAATGGTTTTCTTACTCTTGTAAGAAGAGCTTATGCGATTAGGCCAGTGATCGCAGCTATCGGTTCTTGCTGTCTAGTGGGAGTTATCTGGAAAGGGACGGTATATGTCGCTAATCTAGGAGATTCTAGAGCCGTAATAGGATGTTTAGACAGATCCAATAAAATCGTGGCCGAGCAGCTTACCAAAGAGCACAATGCCAGCATGGAAGAGGTTAGAAAAGAGCTAAGGAATTTGCACCCCGAAGATTCACAAATCGTTGTCATGAAGCAAGGGGTATGGCGCATCAAGGGCATAATCCAGGTGTGCCGTCAGTTCATATCTTGTATTACATTCGGTTATTCTGTTAAAATCATCCGAATTTTATCTCAGGTATCTCGATCCATCGGGGATGCTTATCTGAAGCGACCAGAATTTGCTCTCGACCCAACATTTCCACGGTTTCATCTCCCCGAGCCAATCCGCCGGCCGGTTCTTCGAGCTGATCCAACCATAGTCACGAGACGTTTACAGCCGAATGACAGATTTCTCATCTTCGCATCCGACGGTCTATGGGAATACTTGACTAATCAGGAGGCTGTTGAAATTGTTTACAGTAAACCGAGACCGGTGTGTTTCTATAATCTAGTCGAACTATTTCTGCTCCTCCTATTCTTACAATCTTTGTGTGTTGTATTTCCAGGGCATAGCTAGAAGGCTTCTTTTGTCAGCATTGGCAAAGGCAGCTCAGACAAGGCAGATTCCTTACAATGAAATAAAGAAACTCGACCAGGGTGTCCGCAGACACGTCCACGATGATATAACCATCGTCGTCATCTTCATAGACCACACCATGCTGGAGAATAAAGACACTTCGCCCGAACTTTCAGTACGCGGATTTGTGGACACCGTTGGGCCGTCAAATTTCGATTTCCCACAAGGGAAGATCGATATGTGATGCAGCAAGTTTTGGGTGTTTTATACCCTTCAGGCAACAAAAGTTTTGGGTTCTTCTTCCACAGCTTTCCTCGTCAACCGAATGGCTTTATGAACTAACCAATTTCTGTGCAGTGAGGCTTCTTCTCCACCAAACCAAATGATCACTTGTTCAAAGTCCCAATAAGACAAGACTCATTGTAGTTGCTTCTTCTTCTGTCTATTTAGTTTCTGGGCTTGTTTGTATAGACACCCTGTGATGATTTTTATGATCGAAATACTTTCGTGGATGCCCCAATTGTCATTTGACATTGTGTAGAGTAAAATCATTTAAAATGGAGAGAAGAGAAGAGTAAGAAACCAAACAAACTCAGAGAACAAGGGCAAACCAAAGATTCAATCTGACAATACAGTAAGTTCAAAATGGGACTGCAAAATCCAACCAGTATGTAAACTTAAATACATGTAGTTCCTTCTTTCAACCAAAACTCATATAATATAATGAAATACACAAACTCTGCTACATAGTAATATAACTTGGAGAAATGACAGAAAATGATTCCACAGCCATTGTTCAACCTTAGAAGGAAAAGACTCGAGAGGACAAAAGAACACAAATAAAAGAACGCATAAGAGAAGAATGCAAAGAAACCGGAATGGAACACCAGGTGAAGCAGCAGCAGCAGCAGCAACCATTTGATTTCTATAAATCTCTCGGGTGATCCTTTTTGCCACGGTTCGATCTTAGAAGCACTTTCTGTGAACAATCGAAGGTCCGGACTCATCATACTCTCCTTTGGCAATCCACATCTGCAATCCAAACAATTCAGTCAGCCAAAGGGCATTGTAAGGTTTTTATATCATAGTTTTCCTCAAATGTGTTTTCATTCTAAAAACAAGTTTACGATAGATATCAAAGAAGCAAACCTGCTGGAATGTGCTGAGAGAGGCCAAGATGGAACCTCCGATCCAGACACTGTATTTCCTCTCCGGTGGAGCCACCACCTTAATCTTCATGCTGCTTGGAGCCAGAGCAGTGATCTCCTTGCTCATCCTATCGGCAATACCTGGGAACATAGTTGTGCCACCACTGAGGACAATGTTTCCATACAGATCCTTCCTGATATCAACGTCGCACTTCATGATTGAATTGTAGGTGGTTTCATGAATTCCAGCAGCTTCCATCCCTATCATGGATGGCTGGAAAAGGACCTCAGGGCATCGGAACCTCTCAGCGCCAATGGTGATGACCTGTCCGTCGGGCAGTTCATAGTTCTTCTCCACAGCAGAGCTTGTCTTGGATGTTTCTAGCTCTTGCTCATAGTCGAGAGCAATGTACGACAGTTTCTCTTTGATGTCCCTTACAATTTCACGCTCTGCTGTAGTGGTGAAAGAGTAACCACGCTCGGTCAAAATCTTCATGAGGTAGTCAGTGAGGTCACGGCCAGCCAGATCAAGACGCAGGATTGCATGGGGAAGTGCATAACCTTCATAGATGGGAACAGTATGGCTGACACCATCACCAGAGTCGAGAACAATACCTGAAAAAGAACAAGAACAGCGTAAATACAAGAAGCTTCAGTGCATTCTACATTTCTCAATAGAAGACTTCAATCAGCATGCTCTAATAAATGATCAGTATCACCAATGTTAATCCAAAATCAGTTCTCAATACTCATACATATATATATATATATAATCGACATATGTATGACTTACCAGTAGTACGACCACTGGCATAGAGGGAGAGAACAGCCTGAATGGCAACATACATAGCAGGGGCATTAAAGGTCTCAAACATGATTTGAGTCATTTTTTCACGATTGGCCTTCGGATTTAGAGGAGCTTCAGTCAAGAGGATTGGGTGCTCTTCCGGGGCCACACGAAGTTCATTGTAGAATGTATGATGCCAAATCTTCTCCATATCATCCCAGTTGCTGACAATTCCATGCTCAATGGGATACTTCAGCGTCAGAATACCTCTCTTGGATTGAGCCTCATCACCAACATATGCATCTTTTTGGCCCATACCAACCATGACTCCTGTGTGACGAGGGCGTCCCACTATGCTGGGAAAAACAGCCCTTGGAGCATCATCTCCAGCAAATCCAGCCTGACAATTTTAGATCAAAGTGAACAATAAGCTTCTGAAATCATAAACAATATGATTAGGATCCCTTAACTTTTAATTCATCACAGATGTAGATTGCAACTTAAACAAAAAACCTGACCTTGACCATTCCAGTTCCATTATCACAGACAAGGGGCTGAATATCCTCAGTTTCGGCCATGTCTTAATATTTCCTGTAGCAAAAGGAGCAAAAAATTATGAAAATGAAGAAGCAGTGTCATACAAAACAAACAACCAAGCATCCATCTAAATCCATGCCAATGAAAAGTTCGAATTACAATTAATTACTTCCTACAAAATAAAAAACAACAAAGGTTATGCTATTCTAATAAGTATAATTGGAAATTTTTTATTCCTAAATCAGAGGATGAGTTCATATCAGATCAGATGGGTACCCACTACCCAGCCTGACTCTTGACAATACATGGTTCACACAAGCAGGCAGAATTACAAACAGATCCTAGTTATTCCTATACAATGCAAAATTAAGCAGGCAAAACAAAACTCGAGAACAAAACATAATCCATTTCAAAATGTAGCATTGGGTTGGTGAGAACCATCGATTTTTTATTGCTAGTGGCAGCTGATGCAAGAAAAGACAGATATCCAATTATCAACATTACGGATGTCTTAGCCATACAACAAATCCGTTTAAGAATCCGTCTGGCCAGAGTTTTACTGATTTTAACATTTCAAACCCGATCGATAAAGTCCAACAAACACGTCTTCATCGATTATAAAGTTATAATTCAAATCACGCTCGACAGATCCATGAAAACGAATACAAGGGGGGAAAAAGGTAGAAACATAGACTACACGATAAATTGCAGATAAAAAAAAAGGTTAATCTAGGGACAGATCAGGACGATCGGAAATGGTGAAAAGTCGATTCCACGACAGATTCAAAAATTCTCCACAGCGGAGATGCCCATCTGCCAAATCACGACAACAAATCGAATCCTCGTAAAGAAATTAGAGCACAATGGCGAGACAGAGATCGAACCTTCGAGGGGTTGCTGACAATGGGTGCGTCGCGTCGCGTCGCCTCTCCTCTGCGAATTGGGTCTCGTTGTGAGAATGAAATTCTCCCCGAGTGTCCCCTTGATAACGTCGGACTGTGCGTTACTCCTTGATTGTAGGTGCCGGCCCTCGCGTTTAAATGAAACACAGCCACAAATGAAATTCACCTCAAATTCACCTCAAATTCGCTCTCCTTGAATCGCAGCCGTCGGATTGGATGCTTCAGATCTCTCTCTCCTTTGTGGCACCCATTATTGCATCACATTTATGACTGGCTGAAAATAGCTGTATTGCTTTTCCCTTCATTCTACGAAAGGACGGAAATGCCCTTGTCTCTACCTTCTAAGGCCATTGTCCCTGCCCCAGCCTCGGAGCCCATTTCTGTAAGTTAAATACTGTTTTTTCTTACATATTTTTTTAATAATATTTAATAAAATAATATTATCTTTTATTAATAAAAAATTTAATAAAAAAACATAATAATTAAATTTTAAATTTAAACTTAATAATAAAGTACATAAGATTATAATATATTCTTTAATATTTTAGTTAATAAAATCGTAATTATTTTAAACATGAATTATAATTCAATTAATATATATCAAATTAAATATTTTATAAAAATATTCATTAAAAAAATGAATGCGAAAATAAAATATTTAAAAGTATAATTATCAAATAAAATTAAAATATTAAAACTTTTGTATATCAAAATATGACCATAATCTTTTAATAAAATAAATTCTTATAAAATATAATTATATATAAATACTGATATTCGTTAAATAAAAATAAAAAAAAAAAGGTTTGGGCCCACCATACAGGCAAGGAATGCAACAGAGTGTTCCTTCGTGCCAGAAGGATTGTTTTTTAAAAAAAAAAAAAATCTAAACGTGGGGCAGTTCATGGGAAGCACACCCCGGTGTGTGGTGGCCTAACAAATTCTCACAGGGATGCCTCAGTTTTTTTTTTTTTTTTTTTTTTATTTTCTTTTTCTTGATTCCTGCAAAAGAATGAAAATGGATGTGGATCAAATGAATGTACCCCACCAACACAGTATGATCTTGCAGCCAGAGTGTGTGAAATGGGATCTTGATCTTCGATGAAACACAGTCTGTAAAGTGAAGCAAAAGTTCTCTTTCTTCTTTTTTTTCTTTGATCGGAAAAGCAAAAGTTTTCTTTCTTGTGGGGGGCTCACGTTGATGGGATTAATTCTGTACAAACTGTTTTTTAATTTGCAGATGTAAGAAGGAATCCTAATTGGTATGTATGTATTTGGTTTTCAGTGAATTCTTAGTAGCAAATTTGCATCAAGAAGATAGATTGAAGAAGAAGAAGATTTGCACCAAGAGGATGTATTAATATTAATGATAATGTGAGTTTGCATTCAATCTAAAACTCAAACCATAACACCATTGACAATACACAGCTGTGCTGCTGCTACAAATTTATGTAAAAATGTCTGGCAGGGGGGGAATGTAGTATTATTTCCATGTCCAATGCACAAATCTTAACAAGACTCATTGACAGACAACAAACAAAAAATAAAAGTAAGGGTGGGTGGGTAGGTAGTAAGCAGATTATGAGTAGCATCTGATGGATGGGTGTGTGTCCTCTCTTTTACAATCTTAGAAGCATTTTCTGTGAACAATGGACGGTCCAGATTCGTCGTACTCTGCTTTCGCAATCCACATCTGCAACAGAAAATTACACGAATATAAATCAGTCGAGCTTAAGAGAAACAGAAACGAGCAATCAGAGAGTGCAAGTTTGATCGTGTGTACCTGCTGGAACGTGCTGAGAGAGGCCAAGATGGAACCTCCGATCCAGACACTGTATTTCCTCTCCGGTGGCGCCACAACCTTAATCTTCATGCTGCTCGGGGCCAGGGCTGTGATCTCCTTGCTCATTCTATCGGCAATACCCGAGAACATAGTTGTGCCACCGCTGAGGACAATGTTTCCGTACAGATCCTTCCTGATATCAACGTCGCACTTCATGATGGAATTGTACGTGGTTTCATGAATGCCAGCAGCTTCCATCCCGATCATGGATGGCTGGAAAAGGACCTCAGGGCATCGGAACCTCTCAGCGCCAATGGTGATGACCTGCCCGTCGGGCAGCTCGTAGTTCTTCTCCACGGCAGAGCTTGTCTTGGATGTTTCTAGCTCTTGCTCATAGTCGAGAGCAATGTACGACAGTTTCTCTTTGATGTCCCTTACAATTTCACGCTCTGCTGTAGTGGTGAAAGAGTAGCCACGCTCAGTCAGAATCTTCATGAGGTAGTCGGTGAGGTCACGGCCAGCCAGATCAAGACGGAGGATCGCATGTGGGAGCGCATAACCTTCATATATGGGGACCGTGTGGCTGACACCATCCCCAGAGTCAAGAACAATACCTGCCCAAGAAATGGAAAAAGGTAACTAACGAACAGACAGCAACACAATTCAGCTTAATATAAAATGCAATTAGGCCATGTCCAATCCTTAAGTAACTGAGGTTTTAAAGACAGCAGCATATAGCATACAACATTGCAATGGAAATGTTTTAAGTTACAATCTTACAATCCTATAGATTGATGCCTACCCTAATCTCAGATGTATAATTGATTCATGACCTAACAATTTGTAGCTACTTAAAGAATGCCAGAAACATTTTGAGCATAAGGCATGCATTATATCAAGCAAACAACACTAAAAAAGTTTCCACAAAATATTTCCTTCATAGGCTAATGCAGAAACAAAATTAGTATAAGAGCTGACAAAGAACAAACAGAGATGATCATCATTAGGGATATCAATATTCAGGAAATGCATAGGGCAGATTTGCTTGCCTGTAGTACGACCACTCGCATAAAGGGAGAGGACAGCCTGAATAGCGACGTACATAGCAGGAGCATTAAATGTCTCAAACATAATTTGAGTCATTTTTTCACGATTTGCCTTGGGGTTGAGAGGAGCTTCTGTCAAGAGGATTGGATGCTCCTCTGGGGCCACACGAAGTTCGTTGTAGAAAGTGTGATGCCATATCTTCTCCATATCATCCCAGTTGCTAACAATCCCGTGCTCAATTGGATACTTGAGTGTCAGGATACCTCTCTTGGACTGAGCCTCGTCACCAACATAAGCATCTTTTTGGCCCATGCCAACCATGACTCCAGTATGGCGAGGGCGACCCACTATGCTGGGGAAAACAGCCCTTGGAGCATCATCACCGGCAAATCCAGCCTTGGAATTTTTAGATCAACAAAATCAATTAGCTTACAAAGAGTCAGTATGATTTTAAGCTCTCCCATTTTTAAGTCATATTGGGATAAGCAATGAAGAAACATCTTGAGCTGACTAAAAAAACAAAAAGAGGCTCTTTTGGGTGCCCAACGCGAAGCTTTTACCTTAACCATTCCAGTTCCATTGTCGCATACAAGGGGCTGAATATCCTCTGCTTCCGCCATCTCTTAATGCTCTAAGAAGAAAATGGAATCATTTTCAAGATTCTTGAGATTAGTGAAATATAAAAAATAAACAAAACAAAAATTGTCTGCACAAAAGCTTTCATTGAAAAATCTAAATAAATGTGATTCAAAAAACTTCACTGCAACTTCAAAACAAAGCCACCATGACAAGCTTTTGAAAACTATAAATTGAGGATATAAACAAACAGATGCTATATCACACTGAATCAGATAGGTATAAAGAATCATCTTTTGTACAAAAGGGGGATTTTGGAACACAGTGTAATGGCAAGCTAGGATGTGGGGGCAACATGCAATAGCTACGACATTGAAAAGAAAACATATGGAAATCAACATATAGAAAATTTCAATCTCTTGACATTTAAAATAATTCATTCTTTTCTAATGTCTATCAATGATATAGCAAAAATCAGAAAAGATGCATTGAGGAAATAAGCACTAGCATCAAGCAAGGATCGATTCATTTGACTTTGCAAAATTGGATTTGATTTATCATCTGAAAATTTTTCTTAAATTACATCTATGAAATTGGTATCTCTCTCACAAATCTTCAAGCAATCAAGCACAACTATTCTTCCATCACGAGGCGTGAATTGAATCGGGCAAAGGGAAAACAATCCACGCAATCGATGCTTTAATTCTAACAATTTGAAAACGCCTATTTGCAGATCGACAAATCAACAACAGTGACAACCATAAAATACGAAAAGCCCAAGAAAATAAACGCATTGCACGGATCCACAGATCAATCGGAATAGATTATTAACATAAGAAAAGATCCACCCGTCGCTCTTCTCCAATTCGAGATCGAAAGCGCAAAATGACGATTAAAACCGATCAAAATCCTACCTTAGAAGCTAATGGGATCTGTGCGTTCGTTGAGAGCCTTCTTCTCCGACAACGGCCTGGGTCTCCGCCTCGCCTGTGGAAGATAACGCAACGCAGGAGCTGGTTTTTCGTGCGAACCCGCCCTCTTGTTTAAAAGACCACCAGAAGTTGAATCTGAAGACTCGGTCCCAGAGAGAGAGATGAATGAGGAGCCGTTCGATGGTTGCGATCTCAATCAGAATCAACGGCTGGCAGCCACCCATAGCCATCGGCCGCCTTTTTCGTGCACTTTGTATTCATTCATGGTCGGCCTCTGTCTGTCTGTCTGTCTGTCTTTTTTTCTTTTTTTTTTTTTTCTTTTTTTTTTTTTTTGCTTCTTGTTCTTAATATATGGATAAATATTTTTAATGCTGTAACTGTGCGATATATTTTGAATTATTTTCCCTCGAATGTAAATATTGTAATAATACAAAACTATTTGATTAAAAAAGTACATATTATATTCATCAATAATGTAAAGTAACACCTTTGAAAGAATTGATAGGAGTCATCAATTATTGGATATTGTTTTTAAGGTGGTGAAATCTTTGAATATGTATATTTTCATATTAAAGTATTTTGAGAGGCCATAAATTTATTGCAATATAAAGGGTGCATATAAAACTAGTCATTCAACACATAATTTGAATAAATACAAATTGAGTTTGTTCTCTATGTTATTTTAATGACATAATTTTCATAAATACTTTTTTAAAATATACTTTATATATCCACATTAACATATACTATTTTAAAATACAAATTGAATTTGTTCACTTTATTATTTTAGTGATTTTCATAAATATTATTATAAAATATATTATATATACATATTAACATAATATATATATAATCTATATTTTTTCACTTATAAAAAATAAATAATTTAATACAAAATATTATTTTTTTTATATAATTTGTTTATATTATATATTTTTGTTCGTCCTATATAATTTATCTATTTCATTTTTTGAAATAGCTATACATTTTAATAGCATTTTTAATTTCATAAGTTATAAATTTTTAATTTTAATATATAATTTTTTATATTATACAATAATTATTTTTATATTTCTTTATTCTTAATTAATTATATATTTTTATATACTCTTGTATACACAAAAAAACTGGACAACTCAGGTGGGACAGATAAAATATTTTTTATATTATCAATATAATTTTAAATACTCGACATAAAAAATACATACATTCATTCATAAATATAAAATAAATATATCGGATATATATTGTGTTATTTTTACAATGTAATGTTAATTTATATTTAAAATGTATTGTTTGTATAAATTTTGCATTATTATTATTATGCTTATACGTTGTATTAATATTATATTAATATATTAATGTACCGACAATTACATCATCTTGAATTAAATAAAATATATAGATATTTAATATAATACATTCTTTCGCGTCTAAAAAAATTAGACTAAACTTTTTGACACATTTTAATAGTGTGTATTAGTATTATTTTTTGTCGTAAAAAATAAAGTACAATTTTTTCATAAAAAAAATAAAAATATTTATAAATAACACAAAAATGAGTATATTTTTATTTAAGAGATATGGATTAATATATTTTTGAAAAAAAAAAACACTAATTCTAGAAACCCATTCCATCCATCCAAATATATTATTTTAATTATTTTGATTTTATCCACTCAAACTTATATATATAAATAATTTTATATTAATATCACAATAGTTATACTTTTTTACCTAAATTAAAATATATTATTATATATACTAATATATATATAAGTAATTTCATATTAATATCAAATCATTTATACTTTGTTACCTAAATTAAAATATATTATTATATATACTAATATATATATATATAAGTAATTTCATATTAATATCACAGTATTTATACTTTTTTACCCAAATTAAAATATATTATTACATATACTAATATAAAGATAAAATACAATCGGCCAAAATGTTAAAATCTTTTATATATTTATATTAATCAATATAAATATTGTTATTATTACTTTTTAAATAAATTACTATAAAAAGTAAAATAACTATTCAGAGATGGACTAGTGTTATCAATTAATAACAACAAATTTTAAAATAATATTTATTTATGTACGATTTATGTTATCATATTTAATATTAAAAATATTTGTATATTTGTATGTACACAAATTATATTATTATAAAGACACTAATTAAAGTAAATTTATTATTATTATTTTTAATTTGTATTATTTTTTATATAATAATTAATATTTAAAAATAACAAACAAAAACTAAATAGACTCTTAGAGGAAATAGTATGATAAAGTTTTGTTTTGTGAGATTATTGAAATATAATTTTTTTTCATGTGAAGTATAAAAAATCGTGTAATAAATATAAAAATAGTAAATATTTGTAGTGTATTAATTTTTTTTAAAAAAAAAAACATATAGAAAAAAAAATAAAAAGAACAAAGTATGTTTTAATACATACAAAATCATTCATCTTATGTTAAAATAAGCTAGAGAAGTAAAACAAATTAATGAAATATAAATCATCTTTCCTAAGAAATAAGCATAATATGTTATTCAATTTTCTCATTAAAAAAAAAAAAGAAGAAAGAAGAAAAACAAATAATTACTAAAACAATCTTAATTTGATTTTAATCATATTAAATTTTCAAATAAATAAATATTAATTCAATGCATCGATATTAAGCTTGTAATTGTACAGGGCTTCGAACAGTCTCCTGCCCAATCCGAAAGATGGCATGGCATCGAGTCCAAACTCCACACCAGGCCCACCTCAATCTCAATCTGCTTTCATGGAGGAGATGCCTATGGAAATGGGAGTGTGGAATAGGGGGGCGACGAATCCCGAATTCGCAGTCGCCCTTCATCTCCGGCCCCCGATTTTCTCCCCTAACGCTAGAAGACAATCCAATTCGATTCAATTCAACTGGGGAGGGGAGGGAAAAGATCGATAGGTTCTGTTTTGGGATTGGAATTATCTATCTTTTCAAATGAACAAACTCAGCAGAATATCGGCGACAATCGATTCTCATGCTAACCCCTTTCGGGTTAGATCATCTCTTTTCCATTGCAGCCCTGTGTTGGAGCGAAGGAGGCGCACTCATTGGGATTCCGTATGCGCTTTCTTTTCTTCATTTTATGAATTCCACTTTATCATGCTTCGGATGTATCTCAGAGTGCCTTGAACGGATTTCATTGCAATGCGAAATCTCTTTGAAGGATCAATTTAGCTAATTTGAAGTTTTCTAATATGTTTGATTGATTTTCTGTTATTGTGAAGCTATGAAACCAGTTGTTTTGAAATTGTTTCTTTATTTACATGGTAATTATGCGCGGAGGTCGACTGGTTTTTGCTTAAATTGAATGCTTTGCTTGATTGGAGAGTGGTGTGGAAGGCAAAAATATCATTAGCTTTTATGCAAAGGCAATAGAATTGATCAATATCATCAACTGGATAATGCTCAAATTTGGATTTGCTAGATATTTACTTATGTGCTCCTTTTTTGGTTTTGTGTTACAGGCAAGTTCTTTCAGGAGTTCTCCAAGGGTGAGTGAGTTCTCTCTAGATTTATCTGTTTCATCATTCTTTATTTTCAATGCTTAATTTTGGTCGGGAGAGTGAAATTTATTGGTGTTGTGTAGTACTAGTGTATGCTGATTTACTCATAGTCTTGCGGCTCTTGAAGTTTTGGAAGTTTGGTAATTTTGGAAAAGTTTGAGAATAATAAAAAGTTCGGAATTTTATGTAATGTTTTGTGAAAGGAAAAAAAGATATTTTTTTGAAAAAGTTAGAATAAAGTTCCAAGGATGTCTATATAAACAAAGTGGTGTTTTTTGACTTTTTCATGCGACTGGCTATTGTTGCTTGCAGAATTTCAATCAGTACTCTAAGAGGCTCAGGAAACAGGCCTTATTGCGTAATGTCAGCGATTTTGCGGATCATTTATTTCAGGTTGTATATCGAAAGAATTTGGGTTTCTTCTTTTTTTTGTGTGATGACAGGAACTGTGCACTATGATCATTCCAGTTACCTTTTTGTTTGCGATATTGTGAAACAGAACTGGAAGGAAGATAGGGATGAGTACGAAGAACCTTCAGGTCGAGGTAGTTCGTGGTTCAGACCAGGCTTTAGGGAAGGCGGACATAAACGGGGGAAGGCGAGGAACTGGAATTCAAGAACGAGCAGAAGTATGTTTACCTCTTTAATATAATCAAGAACTGCCGTAGTTTCACCTATTTATGTATCTTGTGAATGTGAAGTAGTTATATGGTTGATTCTTTGCAGGGGGCTTTGAGTTCTGTCATGATGATGGGCTTGACGATGCGTTCGAGAACATATACCATTCAGTATTTAGCGGCGGAACCCGTCACTTCTATTGGTTCAAAGATGATGAATCTCCACGACATGGAAACTCATGGAGTTACAGTGGCAACTATAGGATGAATGGCGGCTGGGAATATGAGTTTGAAGACGAATATGATACTTCACAAGAGTTTGAGAAGCCTACAACACCGAAGGTTACATCAGATAGGCTTGCATTGGGGCTGAGCCCATCAGGTCCATTAAACCTGGACGATGTTAAAAATGCGTAAGATATTTCGTCGCCCATTTTATATTTACTTGTGAAATTTGTTGTTATCTTTAAACCAACTAGCCAATCGATCTCCTCAGATATCGGGCATGTGCATTAAAGTGGCATCCGGATCGCCACCAGGGCTCATCCAAGGTAATTGATTCCCTACACAAAAGCTTTAGGGATAGTTAGGTGTTGATTAGAGCAAATTCAATCATAAAAAGTGCCAGACAACACATGATCCCAAAAAGCACATGGCCATTCGAACTTTATAGTATGCTTTATGAATATATATGTGTGCTGAAATCAATGGTAGAGTGCATTAAATGAACTATTGTCATGTGTATTGTCGATTCATGTGTTGCATTTATATTATATTAATATAAACTATGAGTTGTTCAGCACTATGCTGAAAGTGTTGATTTAGCAGTACTGTAACAACAGCACAATATCATTGATGCTGTTGTATGGGATCTTCACTCTGAGTACTATTTGATATGATACTGCGGACAGGTTGTTGCCGAAGAAAAGTTCAAGGCTTGCAGTGCCGCGTATCAATCGTTGTGCGACAAACTCGATCTGCAGTAGGGACTCGCCTTTGTCGGAGTATGTCGATTGCTTACTCTCATTCAACTTATCTACCAATCTATCTATCTATGTAATGTATTGAGTGTAGAGGAATTAGTGACCAGAGTAATTGATTGCTTGAAGCACTTGGTTGCATTGCTGAGTTGATTTATTACATACACAGGCAGGGTTAGTTAGATCATTTATTAGTATAAACCCCTTTTGTAGTGGCTTCTTCAATAGAATTGCAGTTTGTTCTGTTTTTCCCATTCAACATATGACTCTTTCTTCTTGGAATAATTTGACTCAAATTTTCACCATTAGGTTTGCAATGAACCTATATTATTTCATTATTATGATTTGAAATCCCCAGCTTTTATTCGTCTGAGTGAGTTTATTTTAATAACATGCTGCAAAGTAAGTCTGATAAATCAAATCACACTATACAATACAACTTATGTAGCAAACAACACCAAGTGACATATATAATTTATTTTCTCTAAGTGAACAACTTTTTCTCATTTTTGTATACAAAGTGTTGAAGAGAAAAGATGACTTTCATGTAGTAATATTTTGTTTCATCTTATTAAAAAAAATATATTGTATTAGAATAATAGTGAATACATTTGAGTATAAATTTCAAAAAAAAAAAAAAAGAAAAAAGTTGATTAAAATGAGAAATTCATTAATAGAGGAGCGGAGAGAGAAGCGCTAAAGAATCTAAAAATAGGCTGGTCTACTGCTACTACTAACACAACAGCAGATAAAAATACGTACGTACATGCATAGTTGATGCAACCGCCAATCTGACACGTGTCCCAATGCGTCTTACACGTGTCGCAATTTCCAACGCCATTCACCCTCTTTATATTCTTCCCCCAACCGCCTTTGTCTCCACTAATTCTTATTACTATTCAACAAATCACAGTCAATCGATCGATCGATCTCTCTCACAAATTAAAAGACGATCAAGATGCAGTCGATGAAGGAATCCGCTGCCAATGTGGCTGCCTCCGCCAAGTCGGGCATGGAGAAAACCAAAGCCACCATTCAAGAAAAGGTCCCTCCCTTAATTTCTTTTCTTTTATTTTATTCATCCATTATTTGTTATTTTATATATGTTGATGGTGTTACAGATGGAGAGAATGGCGGCCCACAATCCGACGGAGAAGGAGATGGCAACAGAGAAGAAGCAGGACAGAATCCAGCAGGCCGAGCAGCACAAGCAGGAGGCCCGCGAGCACAACGCCGCCGCCAAGCAGGCTGCCTCCCACTCCTCCACCGCCACCGGCCAGACCGGCCACCACACCGGCGCCCACCAGATGTCGGCAATGCCCGGCCACGGCAGCGGCGCGCCGGCAGCCCAGGTGACGGAGGGGGTCGTCAAGTCCCACCCCATCGGCACCAACACCGGCACAGCGGCGCGTCCCACCACCGCCCAGAACACCCACGTCGGAGGCTCCAATACCGCCAGCGGCTACGGCACCGGCGGCGCCTATACTGGATAGGATAGGATAGGATTTTATCTCTACCCTGCTCTCCTCTATATCTAAATCTAATTACAAATAGTAATAGCGAATGTGTGTAATAACATCCTTTCCCTGTTTTATATCTTGAAATTGCATTCAATTTACTTGTACCTAAAAATTAATAAGATTTTCCTTCACATTGAAACATATATATATATATATATATATGGATGGTACTGTATGTATGTACCAAACATACATTAGATTAGCCTCGCAAGTCTTGAAACTAAACTACACAGGAAATTACATCAAATGCGAACAATAATAGTAATAATAATGATATGATATTACCTCTCATGTTAAGCTGCCTGCTGCCATCAACAATAACAGATATATTCAATTGAAGCAATCCAATCCTGGGACTCTGTCTGCTTCACCTCACTCTTCTCTTTCCCTTGCGGATTGCACGACCACCACTGCTAACATTTTCGTTTTCAGGAGAATCTTCAACAACTGATCTCTCCTGCGACACCAACCCCCGGTTCCGGCATAGTTTCCGAATCGGCGTTGTCGGCATAGCTGCTTCACCTTCTGCCCTACTTGCCTGAGCACCACCACCACCCATATTGGTTTCATCCACCTCAGCTCTATTCGGCATCAGTTCTTCCCCCGCCACAGTAGAATCCAACATTAGCTGCAATACCATGGAACCCATCATCATCATCATCATGTATATATATATATCTTGTATTTAAAAGAAAAAGGGTACCTTCCAGTCCTTGAAGTCGAATCTGAATAAAAAATGACAGTATGCAGTCTCCCCAGATAGAATAGCACTGGCAGCAGGAGCATTCTTTGGGGCTAAAGAACCATCAATTTTGTCAGTAACAGAAAGCGCAATCTATAAAGTAAATAAATGGATCTTGATCGTCGAGAGTAAACTCACAAACTAGATGGCAACGGGTATCATCCACAGATATCTCAGCACGTCCATCTTTCACCAAAAAGGATAGAGCAAACAGGTTTTCCACTGTCTGAGCAAATGAATTCCGGTTTAATATGAGATTTTCAAGCTTCACTTTCCGGTTCCTCCTCAGAATATTGAACATCGTAGCCATGTTCTTATCAGTGTCTGTTTTTTCTTTGTTAACTGTCTCATCAAGCTACAATATGACAAAGAAAAACTCAGTTTCAGCACAGAACCATAACTGTTTTAAGGAAACAAAACATTCTAGTCTAAAACTATTTTTCTTTAACTAAGAAGGCAACACACAAAATTGTTGATGAGCACCACATAAAGCTCATGTAACAGTAATTAAGTATTGAACAACTGGTACAGTTAGGAATAAAAGGCCCCAATGAAAACCTTCCTGCTAAAACTAATGTATTTCATTGCAAATTTGAAAGGCAGAAATATATTACCTCTTCGGGATGGGTATCTTCTGCGGGCCTTGAACGCTTTCTCTGAGCCACATTCTTGCGATGCTTCAGTTCTGTATTCATTGGCCCAATCCTGCCAGGCATTATGAAGACAGTATGAATTGTTTATCAGATAATTCATGTAAATAAAGGAAAGAAAGATGAAATAAGGTGTGGATGAATACATTGTACGACAACCAGGAGCATCCCTGAAAGCATCAGACACCACCTGTCCAATGTCTTTCCATCGTACCATACCTCCACCTTCAGTGTGGCTACTGCTTGCACCAGATTGTTGTCCGAAATCCCTGAGCAAACAACTGATGAAATCGGAGGGTGTCACGCCTTCATTTCTACATGCTTTGACAGAGGACACCAAGGAAGTTGTAATGTCGAACAGAGCCTCAGCATCAGCTACTTGCTCCCGGGGTTTTTGCACTGATTTATATATAATAGAGAAACAAGGGGATAGACCAAATACATAGTATTAAAAATTGATTGCAACAAATGAGGAAAATACAGATCACTATAGCAATTATATTAGCAAGAACCAAGCCACACTCAAACTAAAGGAAATATTTAACTTTCATATATATAAAATTGTATTGCCCCTCATAAATAAATAAACCCACAGATTTGAAGGGCGGATAATTAATTTCGCATCAGTGCAACACTCATAACCAGAAATACTTGTATCAAAGGAGGAAACAGATTCCATACAATTTATATACCAAAAAAGCTAGTGACTACTAACTACCAAGGTTGTCACAAGGAGATTCTGGGCACCGGACAGCACCCTCCAAGGCAACAATTTGGCGATACGACGATTGTAAATTTCTAAGATCTATTATACAATACAAAATTCTAACATTAAATCACAAAATCTTACTAAATTTCAAATAAAATATCAAAGTAACAAAATTACCAAACATCACCAGCAAAATATCAAGGTACCAATACTATATTAGTGTATGCCAAAAAGAGAGAGATTAGATGATTTACTGGTGCTGGCTACAAATTGGTTGGCCTATTTTTAAAACATAACAAGCTGGGGAGATGAAAACGGCTGGTTTTGCCTAGCTTCTCCCAAATGATTTTCAATGGGTGGTGTTCAATGGGAGCATCTATGACCAGCTTGAATGAAATGAAGGAACTGATGGGCGGAGTAAACAAAGGGAGGAAAAACACAGCAGCAGGCTAGCTAGGGTTTACGTGTTCAAATCAATTAAATTCAAACACGTCAAAAGTAATGCAAAGCAGGTCAAATAAAAGTTCTTGATCCTCTCGCCATTCCTGCCATTTGGCGCCCAGTGTTGCCAAATCGACAACAGGATACCGGCCTCGCCAAATGGCAAGGCAATAAGGGATTGCATAGGTGTCACCATGACAACAATGGTGACTACATAGAAATAAAGTCTCTGCTTACCTAGCTGATGCAGATTGTCAACTTCTTCAATCATTGATTTGAACTTTTCCGAGTCAACCTTGGATATATCCTCCTTCTCATCTGCATAGGTAAGAATAACTACCTTAACTAAGAGATACACTTCAAACAGTGAAAACACAACAATAAAAATTCTTAAAAGAAATGTACATATAATTCATGAATGACAAACTTGCTTCTTTACTGAAACTTCCATTGATAATTCCGTCTTCAAAAAAAATGCAGATGTAGGCAATTACGGCAATAAAAGCCCCTAGAATCAGCGTGTTCTAGAATGCCATGTACTTTAAGGTAACACATTGAACATACCAAACAACTTAGAAAACACATCGAATCCTCAATCTCAGAAGGGCAACAACTTAAATATGGAGTTTAGGTGTTAGATTCAACAAAATAAAATTCCATCAACAAAGAGTAAGATAAGAGAATAGAAGAAAAAGAAAAGGAAGATTTCAAACTTGAATACAAGAAAGATTCCAGCAGATAAGGACACTCTTAAACAATCTTATACATCAAAATTTTCGAAGTACGGACAACACCAGACACATGTCGTTCTGATACAACTGAAAGCAGATATTCAAGCATTCAAAGAATAGCAAGTAGAAAGAACGTAATATGAATAAAAATTACCGCTAATCCGATTCTTAAAACTGAGATATTTCGAGCGCAGAACCCGGCGTTCACCAGCACCATCTTCAACGGTGCTACTGCTCGTTGTACCATGCGATTCATTAACGTTACCCGCGCTACTCCGAGTAGTACGGCCAATCCCGCTTGCGGTTTCCTTCTTCACCGGTCGCACCATGGCCTCTTCGCGACAATACGCAAACTTTTAGGGCATAAGATTTTGAACCAAGAAAAAGGAATAAGGAAAATTGAAGGTGAATCGGGGAGCTGGGCGGAATAGGGCAATGGCGAAAAATGGGGATTAGAATCAGAGGGAAGAAGATGAAGAAGAGCGAGGGAAGGGTTTTGGCGTTTGGGCGGATTTGAAATTTTGCTGGAAATAATAAAAAAGAATCTTTATTAGAAGAAACGAGAAGAAGAGTATCCAGTGCGAGAGGGCGCAGGTTAACTACGGTGGGACTGATTCCACATTCTACTAGTAGTATGTAATTGTGATTATTATTATACTCCATTTTATAACTCATTATATTTATATTACAATACTAAGATTATTTTAGTTATTTATTACGTATCAATATAATATTAATATACCTTAAACTATGTAGAAAACAAATGAATATTTACTTATAGGATGGAGAGAGTATTATTGTTTTATTTTTTTTCAATATTTTTATTAAACTCCGACATGTTTTCTGATCAATTGTGATTATTATTATTATTGTTATTATTATTATTATTACTGTTTTTTTTTTCAATATCTTTATTAAACTCCGACATATTTTTTGATCAATTGATCTTTTTCATTCGGATTCTATTTCAAAATGAATGGGTGTGTTGTTTCCATTTAAATATTAATTTGAATTTAAAATAAATTAATATATTGATTCAATTTAAACTTTAAATTACATTTAATTCAAAATAATTCATACCACTCACTCATGCTCATGATTAAGTTAATTATTACATTTTGTCTCGTAAACTTAATTACAGAACTTGAAAGTTCAAAACATGTAGATGGCATGACAGATTTAGTCGTGTGCATAACCAAGATCGTATTAACAACATATCCCAAAATTTAAGTTGTCAAAATTATATCGAAACTAGCTTTTTCAAATGCCCACTCCATGCATTTCATCCTGAATAAATAGTATTATTAACCTAATAGTAAGTTATGTTATTATTTCATAATTGTTTTAGTAAATAGTATTATTAGTAGGTTTAAAATAACAAATAATATATATACAATAAAGAAATTAAAAATATATATTTAAATATTTTAAAAATAACATTTCAATCAAATATAAACATAATGAATACCAATGGTAGAAGGTAAAATTTTATATAATACAAATAAATTAAATATATATTTATTTTTTATTATTAATATAAAATAATTTTATAAAAAATGAGATTTGAAAGGCAGAAAAAATATTTATTTATTAGAAAAATAATAAAATAAAATGAGTTTCGAATGATGTCAAATAAAATGAAAGTGATTAAAATAATAAGAAAAATGCTTTAATGTTACATAAGAATATATATTTATTTAAAAAAAGTATAATTCAAATAATGAGGAGGAAAAAAAACCTCGGAAAGAAACACAATTCTAAAAGTGAATAGAGAGAGGGCCTTACATTTTACAGGCAATTGAAAGCTTTCCTTGAGATGAGACTACAAAGCATCCGCAACGCATCTTAGTATAGTTTTATTGTACACCAATGATGCAGTATTTTTACACTAAAACAAATACAAGGATGTGTTTGTTTTGTATTTTGATTTGAAAGTATATTTTTATGTAAAACATAGACAATTGTATAAGTAAATTTTGAACAAAGGAAGAGAATTTGTATGAAAAGAGCAGCAGCAGCAGCAATGAGATTTTGGTAATTTTGAAACCTTTTAACAATTCATTAATCCATCCTTAATCGCAACATCATATCATATCATATGAATCAAGGCGATATGGTATGTGCATGTGAATGTGACCAAAATTGCACTGTCAAATTTCATCGAATATCATCACTGAATATCGCTACTGCTAAGGCTCTACTGCTACTTCTACGTCTACTTTGGCTACTGCTACTCAACAATATTAAGAACAATACGGATCAACAATTTTGCTGCTGCTTCAACAAACCCTCCCCCCCTCTATTACTTCCCTCACTCACTCCCAAATCAAGCAAGTAAATCCATTTTATGTGTTTTGTTTATATATATCCATCCCTCAAGAACCCACTAATGGTTCTTCCCATCTACCCCCCTTTCAATATAACACCCCGACAGGACAGCACAGCACAGCAGCCAACCCCACCCCCCCATCCAGCAGCCTTGAGTAAAGAATACCTACCTACCTTCATTGACCGGGAGGGAGGGAGGAGGGAGGAAGAGGAGGAGGATCACGGCTCGCTTGCTTGCTTCTTTTTGTTTTGCTTCTCCATCATCTTGAGATTCAGCCACTCAAAAATCCATGGCTACTCTCCTCCAACCAACTCAATTTGTCAAGTGGTGGAGTGGACTGGGGATTTGCATTCCCACTTTTATCCAATATCAATCACTTCATCGAACGTTGACAGATCATCCAGTCCAGTTATTGAATCTGGTCTAAATTCAACAGGGACAGCGCTCGAGGGAGTGCAATCAAATCCACCATTTGTGTCCGGTAGCAGCTGTGGCAGGTAATTCATTTCATAGTCGTCAGCTCCAGCTTCCAGAAAGCATGGCTGATTCGACCTCATATTGCTGATGTCACTTGGCATTGTGATGGGCAGAGATTGGAATCCTTCACCAGCATTTGGGAACTGCGAATCTGTGTGGTGATCCTTACTTGTTCTTCTCACTTTCGACTTGGAAGAAGGCTTTGCTGACTCAGAACTAGGGAGCTTGTGCTTCCCCAGATACTGCTGCAATGGAGAATTCCATGGCCTGGTATCACTTGATGCAAAACCTAGTGACTGTGGCTCCCCATCAGCATGTCTCCCCAAAGCTCGTCTACAATCAGGAACAAGATTCTTGCATTAAACATAAATCTATGAAGACAAATTCTGCACCTAATTAAGTAGAAAATTTTTTAAATTGGGAGGGTGTAAGGAGAACCATTCTCAGGGAGACTTTATACTGAAAACTGTTGATTTGATTTATATTCAGGGCAATAATAATTTGATTCGTGGTTGAAGGTTGTAACAAATGTCCAACAGAAACAGCTAAATTAAGAAAGAATATGAGATTATACCTGAATTGGCTATCAAACAATTGCCAGGAAGGTTTCAAATTGGCTTCGTCTTCAGTGATGTTCAAAGATGGGGGTGGATCCGTACCAATAATTGAAACATCAACTGCAGAGGGGAGGAGTGAATCATCATCCCTTTCTGCCTGAAGTTCAAGTACTAGATCTAACCGCTCATTTGCAACTGAAATTTCCTCTCCCTGGGGGACAGTGGATAAGGTAGCATTGCTTGGGTGACTGGAGTCGCGATTAAGGGCAGAAGAAACTAACTTCGCACACTGATGCAAATTAGTGAATTCAAAACCTTCTGCTGAGGAAATCTGATGGTTGTCTGACGAACCCAACAACTTAGCAGAAGAATAAAATCCAGTTTGAGACAATTGGTTGCTGCAGGATTGATCTCTCCAACCAGAAGATATTGCAGCAAAGAAGTGCTTTTGGATGAGTTGTTCATGATCTGGTACTTCAGAAGCAATTCCAAGCAAAACCTGGACATTGTCCTAATGGACCAAGCACCCAATAAGCCACATTATCAAAAATTGCTTTTGACAAGAATATCATGTATATCAACAAACTTCAATGAAAAAATTTTCCAACCAAGAAAGAGGCAGATCAAAATATTACCATATAATTGGCATTCCAGTGATAAGTAGTATTCAGCCAGATAATAGATATAACTATATATGGTTTCACTACTGTTGCAAACAATGAACTTTTAACATAGTTTATATATTGAAATGCAATACTCATATCCAAAGCTAGGAAACCAGTAGGATCTTGTTGTCAGTTATTCCCCTCTCGTTATCATGTCAAAACATTGGGTAAAAAAAATCACCATGCTTCCTCCTACCTACAAAGAGATGCACAGATTTGCACCTTAAATGATTTTAATGGATTTAAGTAGCTGCTCATGATGAATTTGGAACCAAGCCCATCTATATATCCTGACTTACCAGAATAAAGTAAAAGCATCATGCATTACTAGACATGCATCAATTATATTTTTCAGCATACAAACATCATCTTTTTTCAGAATACAGATTGTGAATCTTCACATGAATAGGATGATACACTCTACTAAGTGAATGAAATTCAGTAAGCCTAAGGCCACAGCACAGTTGTACTAAAAAAAACGAAGGAATTCATGATCTAATATTATTATTCCTACTCAAAACTAAATGTCAGCTTGAAAGGCAGCAGTCATGCTAAAAGCTGTAATAAGGGAGATTGCATTTAGTTCAAAGATAAAAATTAGTTCTGAGCAATCCAAAAGTTTTAGAGGGTTATAGATTCAGCAGCTACTAGAGGAATTAGAATGCAAGCGATGGCAAGATACCTCAGTTACTCTAAGCAGTGTCTTCCCAGTGCCAACAGGAGTAGCTTTATCATTATTTGCAGAATCATTGGCCACAAAAACATATCTTTGTATTAGATCTCTAAACCTCTCAGAGCAATGGACAGGATGGTGAAATTTGCCTCGATAAGATCCACCACCATTAGTGCCATGCAATATGTCACTTGCCAAGTCCCAATTTGGGCCATACTCGTGAACAGCTGAGCACAATACTGCATCTTCCATTGGTGACCAAAAATCAGGAGGAGCAGATAGGTCTTTGTACCACACATTCCCCTTCTTTTTCAACTTTTCAGGTTTCATTATGAATACTCGTTTCTGGGGCATAAGAGAAACGGAAAGTTGTCCTCGTGTCTTGCTCTTATTTAACTGTCTGGCTTCCAGATCAATAATACCATTATCGTAAGTATTGAAATCTCTAAATTCATGGTGATGCTTGGTAGAATTTCTAGGAGACAGTATCAACCGTCCCTGACCAGAAGACTTCAACTTTTTGGATTTATTTCTGCTCTTTGGTTCATCATCATCTGAAGCAAGCTTCCTTTTGTTATTTTGAGTAGAGCAGGGGGATAATTCATCCGAAGAAGTGAGCATTTCATCTAAATCATCATCTATTGACATTGGTTCTATAGATGACTCTTCTTTCACAGATATGGATTTAGAACCTAGAGTTCCTTTCTTCAAAGATTTGAACTTGGTTGTCTTCTGCTTCTTCTTCTTCTTCTTTGATTTGGATTTAGAAGCCACAGAATTGTCATACCTGTTTACATAAATGGAGGGGTTAACAAAGTCAAAGTTACAGAAAGAAGATACCTTCATTTTTGTAATAAGATGTACAATTAATTATATACATTCAGGAATCACTACAAAATCACGATTTCATGCTATATTAGATATGAAGCTGTTTCAGCTAGAAACCTTTTCAAAATCCTTGGATTTCAGTCAGATATCTGTGATCTGTCTATGCAACTATACCATACTTATTCATGCAAAAGTTTAATTGTAAGGGCATATTCACTCATTCATTGTACACATTCTAATCAATGTATTAGCACAATGATTAGGAAATTTACATGATTAGAAATTAGTTCATCAAATAATCATTTTTTTTTTAAAATACATCTTAAACAAATGCAAAAGAAACTTTTTTACAGGAAACAAATCATGCTCACCTTGGAGAATCAGAATTTCCATATTCTAAGGCCTCCTTCTCCCGGGCTTCACGTTCCATGTCTTCCATCAACTATTACAATGAAAATTTCATTCAGTACACATATGGCATGTAAATGCATCTGTAAATTGCATCTCCTACAGCAATTATTAATGGACTGAACAATCTATAGATTCATCATCACACCTGATGTTGGGCTAGGGCCTCAACTTGCTGCTTGTAAACTTCAGTCGCAAAATCAGTATCCCAGCCTGAGCAATAACCACACAAACATGATGAAGCCCCAAAGTGATGATGAAATTTACTTCGTTTAAAAAATAGGTAAATATTATTCACATATTTAGCAACAATATCATAGGCCTCCTAAAATGCAACTTCAACTACTAACACCAGAAAAAAAAAAAAAAAAAAAAGAAGCCTCGTCCAGAATAGACACAGGAAAAAAATAACCAAAAAAATAATATAATAACCAAATGGAGTACATGATTTAAAGAGAATCCCATTTAGATAGAGACAATCCAGCTAAAATCGGGAGCCAAATCTCTCTCTCTCAAATATATATATATAGTGTACATAGCATAAGAACATAGATGCACAGACAAATATTCCAGGTCCATAACACTCGTACGTTTATTTTGGGATTTGCAAGCAGAACATCATTTTGTAATATGCTATAATTTGCTAGCATTGATGGAATGATGATACTAGCAATTGAAATTAGAAAATATAAATATATATATATATATAGCAGGTACTTACTTTCATACACAAAAGGTTCTTCATCATCATCAATCTCTGCTTCCTTATCATCCTTTAACTTCTCAATACGCTCCAGCTCCCAATCACTTTCCTCAATCTGAATGTCAGAATCAACTGCAGCTTTGTCTATAATAGGGTCCCATAACTGAAGAAAACGTATTGCATATCTATCAATTGGCCTTAGTTGATTCTCGAAAGACAAGATTTCTTGTCCAGCTGCAGCAGCAGCTGCAGCCATCTGTTTGACGTCGGCCAGCATATCAGCATCATCATCATTATTATTGAATACCAGGGCACTTTCCTCAACTAGATGACTTCCACTCACAACATTACCTTCATCTGATTTCACATTCAAGGAGGTGGGTTCAGTAGGACCTTCATCAGGCTTTATTTCCTCATTTGCAAGCTCATCGTCCTCAACCTTCCCAACAGCCTCCTCGGTGAATTCTTGATTATCCACAGCCTCCTCCTCTTCAACTTTCTTCAATGCCATGTAGTCTGCCTCATCTTCAGCATTCTTTAAAGCAGCCTCTATATCCACACCAGACAAAGCAATGTCAGCACTGTTGTTGGATGTTTTCTCAGTCTGTATATCCTTTTGGGTAGCTGTTCTCTGGCCTGAAAACAATTCCATTGGATCCAAAGTTTTGAAGAATTCAGTGTTATAGCTGCCACTCTGTATAACCAAATCATCAAGGGCACGCTTTTGATTAGCCTTTTTCAAGATATTTTCTTCAATCGTGCTCTCACTAATCAACCGATAGATATGAACTTCCCGTGTCTGGCCAATCCTGTGACACCTATCTTGTGCTTGTTGATCCATGGCCGGGTTCCAGTCACTATCATAGAAGATTACAGTATCTGCACCAACTAGGTTGATTCCTACACCTCCGCTGCGTGTAGACAGAATAAAAAGGAATATTTTGGGATTTGTATTAAATCGCTGCATCAGAGTTTGCCTCTCTTCAGGTGGGGTGGAACCGTCTAGGCGCATGTAAGTGTAACCATATAAATTAATGAATGCCTCCAAAACGTCAAGCATCTTTGTCATTTGGGTGAATATCAGAGCTCTGTGGCCCTCTGACTTCAGTCGCCTGAGTAGAACTGCAAGCTCTTGTAGCTTCCCACAGTCGAATTGGATAAGCCTCCTATCAGGAAAGTAGACTTGCCTTCGAACAATAGCAGGACGAAATGGAGTAAGAAGAGGAAAGAAACATTGGGACCATCTGTCTATGTTTGTTTGTTGAACAAACAACGGTGATCCACCTTTACTGCACCAGCAAACTGGGGGAGGCGCACGTGCAGCTGGTATAGCAAACATGAAACTTTCAACCTGATCAGCCATTTTTCTGAATCTTTCAACAGGCGACAGAACAATGTCAGCAAGATAGGTTGAGTACTCATATGACAGAGAATTATACTTCTCATAATGAATGTTGTAGACAGGATGTCTGACACTGACAAGTTCTCGGAGACCAGAGGCATACATTGGTTTCCTCTTGCACCTCAAAGAATTCCACCATGCAACAGCTCTTGCCCTTTCATTTGCTTCCTTCAATCTCTCATCCCACAGTGCCTTCTGAATCTCTTCAAAGATATTTGTTAAATGGTTCCTTCTCTTATCTTTAAACCTACAAGAATTTTCCTCCATATTAATCTGGTTGACACGCCACTCAATTAGGTTTGATGGGGTAGCAATTGCTTGCAATTCTTCATTCTCCCAGGATGTCATGGAAAAATCCAGATGAGTAAACAAAAACCCCAAGCCACTAAGGTCAATATTTGAAAATGCCCCCGCTATGGGCATTGAACAAATGGAAGAACTTAATTGCATGTCTATACCACTCATATCAAACGAACTAACAATTGGACGACCTTCAAATAAATCAGGATGATTACACACCTTACGAAGTTGCATAATAACACTAATCATCCCAAAATAATTGGCACTGGCAAGAGTAGCTTGAGTTTCAGAGCTAGCAATGAAATCCTCATATAAATTACGCTGCCTCCTTGAGAGCCTGCAGTAGATAACATGTTCATGCTTACTTGGAAGCTGCTTTTCGACATCCCTTTTTAATCGGCGTAGTATGAACGGACGGAGAACATTATGCAGCCGATCAATCACTTCTTTGTTTACTTTTTCTTGTCCCTCTACCATGCCAGATATAGGATTACTGAACCAGTCCTTGAATTCTTGGTGAGACTGAAAAATATGTGGCATCAGGAAATGCATTAACGACCAGAGTTCCATGAGATCATTCTGTAGTGGTGTACCCGTCAGAAGTATACGCCTTTTGGAGTTAAAATTAAGCAGTGTTTGCCACCGCTGTGACTTCCAATTCTTAATCAAATGGGCTTCATCCAGAATCAGGTACTTCCACTTCTTTCGCTTGAAAACTTTAGAATCCTGAATGACAAGCCTATAGGTAGTTATGCAAATATGAAAGGAATTAGTCTTCATCCATCCTTGCCTCTTAATTCTTCGCTCTTTTGCACTTCCAAAGTAGGTCAATATCTTAAAAGCTGGGCACCATTTAAGAAACTCTGTCTCCCAATTGAGCATTACACTAGTTGGAACAACAATGAGATGCGGACCCCAAATTCCTTTTTCACAAGCTAGGTGAGCAAGCAGAGCAATTGTCATGATCGTCTTACCCAGTCCCATCTCGTCTGCAAGGATCCCATTAAGCCTTTTCTCATACATGGTCACAAGCCAATCCAAGCCAATGTGTTGATACTCACGCAAAGGAAACTTGAGGAGAAAAGGAAATTTAGTCCGTACTTTTGTTGTTAAGAATGTATTGCCAGTTGGTTGTGCCAACCTGGCAGCAGCTGCTGCATCAGCAATTATATCTTCACTCTGCATATCTTCCCCAGATTTTCCCCAGCATTCAGCTTCACCTTCGCCTTCTCCTCCACCCTCCCCTTCACCTTCACCTTCTTCCAGATGTGAGCATATACCTGGATGAAATCCATTAGATTCATCATCAGGCTTCTTAAGTTCAGAATTCCCTTTTTCTGATGAACCCAAGAATTCAGAACCAGCAGACCACGATTCCAAGTCATCTTCCACATCTTCGTCGCTGTCATGTTCCTGATTGACAGCAGGACCATCAGAATCTACACTGCACCTGATAACAGCAAAACAAATCACACTTCTACATACCTTTTTATACCTTGCAAGTAGCTCTTCAATGGGAACTTCACTCTCTTTCTGAAGAAGAGCAATCTTACGAAAAGACAACAAAAATTAGCATACTTCTTCGCATCAATGCAAATGCAATAGCTTCGTTGAAAGAAGCATGTGCATTTTTCAAAATTCACAAGTAAAAATATGTCTTACTTCATCCACAGGATTGTGAGGTTCTGCATTAGCTAATTCTTCCTCCTCTAAAAGGGTTGCTTCATCATCCTGCTCGCCAACCACAAGTGTCAACTAAGATCAGCCATAATCTCTTACATAGCATCAATATGATATATCTGAACGCATTTATGTACTAGGGTAGGCTCTTGAGAAGTGAATGGAAGTGCAAATACTTGCATACATAGGGAGGAAGGTAAAAGTACAATTAAATGGCTGTTTTGGGTTTATGATAAGCTGATAAAGCAAAGATATAGTTTAAATTTACCAAAGTTTAGAGCCATACAACACATGGAACAAAAATCTACGCAGAAAGAAACTAAAGGGAAAAAAAAAGAGTAACAATACAGAAGAAAAATGTCTAATCATCAATAGAAAATGATGAGCTTACAATGCCATATTCCCTTTCTTCTCCTGGTGAGAGGACAAATTCATCATCTTCCTATAAAATGAAAATTAGAATGTTAAGTATCTATTTGACTTAATCAACATAAAAGTCTAACACAGCAAAATAGAGTAATTTGAGTAGTAAAAGTGATCCCACAATTCAGAATTCAGGAAAATTGCATAAATGGAAAATCGAATCAATTAAGAAAACAGGAAAGTGGATGGCAACACAGCATCATGAAAACGCATTGAATACTAAGAACCAAAAGTCGAGAATGATTTTTAAAAAAATCCTGACAAGAAGATACTAGCATTCATAAAGTAGGTCTTTCATCTTAGTCATGTTTCAAACAGATCTTACATGTTCCTCATTGAACTCAAGCAAAATTTGTTTCCTCTGAGGATCGAGACGTTTTTCTAAAGATTTTTTCTTTATGCATTTGTCAACCTCAGAGCAGTTGTTTTCCATCACAGATAAAACACCATTACTTTCAACCTGCATAAATCAAACAAGAGATATTAAGTTTAGCTTAGACATTCTTACAACTTGGCAGCTGTATAAATAAACACATACAACTTACACAACGACGACCAGGTTCTGCAGGCAAGTTGTCTTTCTGTGTCTTGGTAGCACATTCAATGTCACCTTTTACTGGAAAAGATTAAACATGAGTAACAAGAATTTATCAAATATCAAATGGATAAATAAGTGCAACTGACTTACCACTAGAATCTTTTGAAATGGTTGTTCCAGGTGTATCATCAGTGTTGATAGGACTTTTTTCGCCACTGGCTGATAATAATATAAATAAATAAATAACATATTAATAAAAATAGCAGGCTGATAAAATTACCATACCAGATAATCCCCAACATTTACTCTACCTAATATTTACGAGACCAAACTACACCTAGACTACTCCTGTCAACTTCAACTGATAGCATAAAGACTTTCTTAAACATAAGCACAATGACTACCACTATATTGACTACCATTTTCACATTAACTGGTTCATAGGACAATATTCAAGTGCTGCTCCAACAGACACATTACACATTGCAGGAGATTTATGATAACTTCAACACAGCATTATGTACAAAAAACAATATGAAATGCATGCAACAATTGAAGTACCTTCCTGCGCAGCATAGCGTTTAAGTATTTCCTCTAAAGGTAATTCAGTTTCATTTTGTAATGCAGCCAGTTCTTCTTCTCTCTCTTCTTTAGTGATAAGAGCCTCATCCTCCTCGATAGTACGCTCATCATCTTCCTAAAATCAACAAAAGAAGATGATGTACAGGTACATACAATGTGATTCCATTTGACTAAAAAAGAATAGAACATGAAGTGAAAAAGGAATTGCATCACAAATCTATCCTCCACAGCACAAGCATACATTGAACACAAGAAAGAATAGCACAAATCACTTGAAGCAAAACACAAAGGGTGTGTTTGTTTTTGGGGTGTTGGTTTTGAATTGAAATAGTTGTTGGATGTGATATAAATATGTATTGATGTGATATTTTTTGTAAAACAAAAACCAAAATCTCATAAGTAAACACTCCCCAACTTGCATCATAGTTTCAAAAATAGTAGTTGCAGTATAGTTTCGGAAATAGCTGCGTGTTTCAAGGTCATAACCATTGCCTGATTCAGCATAAACTCTTCAAGATTCCGGAATAGAAGGAATGCATGATTGTGTGCATAGTGCATATACTATTCTATATCCATCAATGGTTTAAACTGGGTTTACATTCAGCAAAAAAGGAAAAAAAAAAAGGACCAAAGAATTCATCAAATAGGTGCCAGAATCCATCAATGTTCCAAACACACTCAATAAAATGGCTACACATAAAATAAGTAGGAGGAGCTTAATTCTCTAAGAACGAGTGCATAAATGTCACAAGTTTTCATGGACCAGAACTTCCTATACCAGCACAAAAAGTAGGAGTCATAAAAAAAAAATAATAAAAGGAGGCTGGCATACAGGTTCCCCCATAAATAGAAATAAAAAATACTTACTGATTCATCACCAGACAGCAGATCAAAGTCTTCATCTGCAATAGGGCCATTTGTCTGGGTCCCTAGCATAATCAGCATAATTAAGAACAAACCAAATATATGATACAGTAGAACAAACCAAATGCAAGTAAAGATTGACCACTTACCGCTGTCTGAGTGAGATTCTTTTTTATCAGTTTCATCATCAGCTTTTTGATGTCTGTTAGATTGCTGTTCAATAGCAGGCAAAGAAGAAGGTTTGCCTGGGGTAGGTGAATTTACAAGGTTCTCTGCCAACATTGACGAGTACCTAAGAAATCAAGAAAAAAACATCAATATTTCATTCATACATAGAGTACAGTGAGCTAAGTCTTGAAACAATGGAATATGCTGATTACAGCTCTTGCGGTTTACAGAACAAGCTTCTCATTTTATTGGCACCTGAAAGATGGGAAACACAGATATCAAAAGAAAAGTTACCTCTCAGTTTGCCCAAGAAGGAACTCTAGCTGTTTATCTAGGGCTTTCTTCTTCTTCTCATCAAGCTCTAATTGATGTTTGTATAACACCTGCATCAACCATTATAAATGAAACTCAACTCACAACCAGTGGTTAAGAATCACCCTATTATGCAAATGTGTGGAGGACTTGCCAGTTTCTCTATTTTTGTCCAAAATTTCTTCACATCCTTGGATATGTTGAGTGCCACTTTTCTCAACTTCTGTTCCTCTTCCTGATGAAGTATATAGTTTAGATTAATAAACTAGTAGGTAATTGAATAAATGTGGGCCAGATTTACCCCACAAAACCCTGTAATTATATTCTTCTTGATGGGATATAAAGAATATTCATAACATCAGCCCAAAATGAAAAGATGAATCTAAATCCCATGTATATTTATGTAACTCTTCTACTAAACGCACCTTTACACGCTTCTCCCCTCTTGTGGCTTGGTCCAGCATGCCCTTACTAGCTTTGGTTGCTACTTTCTTTGCCTGATTCAGTTTCCATTTCCTCTCTGACTCGAAGTCCTAAAGATATGAGATCATCGATAGGGAAAGATTACAAATTTTAAAGCAGTGATAAATCTCAAGCTTGGGAATGAAAGAATGAACAAATATCACCTTTGCCAACCAGACCATCTCTTCCAATACATGATCCCAGTGCGTTTTAGGACGCTTAGGTTCTTTTGGAGCTTCAAGTGCCTAGAATTCAAGATCCAAATGGCAGGTAACCAGTAAAACAAAGTAAAAGGCTACAACCACATCCCAAATTCAAACAATTATAAAGTATATTTCTTGCTACAAGATCCAATTGTATTCTACAGATGCTGCATGCTGATCCACCAAAAACTACTCCTCATATCCTCACTTAGAACATTGAAAACACATCTGTATGATAAGAACGGCTTGGGTACAAACTTGCATGGTACATTAGAAAACCTTTAACACATAATTAAAGCAGAAAGTTTCAAACCTGTATAGAGGAAAATCATTTTGCAAGGTTTCAAATAATGTTAGATAATTCAACTTCTCAGACAAAAGACGCTAGAATAAGAAAATGTTGACTCCAATACATTAAACTTCTACTTCTCCAATGTCATCAGTGTACATACTTAATAAGTTGCAGAATCTGAAAATAAGTGAAAATCCAATTTCCAGTCAACTTACAGTTGCACAACTTATTCCAACAAGGCTCATCAAGATTGAATTATTAAGATAATGGAATATACAGGGTTCAAGTAGGAAGATGAACATGCTAGCCGATTATTGAGGCAGTAGATAATCCCCATACTTCTAACAGAAAGTAACAAGTTAACATCCTCACCTTTTGCCGCTTGGCACGTGATTCATGGTCAAGTTTAGACCTTGGACCCTTGGAGGCCATGATTTATCCCACAATGTCTATCTCATAGCTAAGCTACAAAAAATGAAAATGATAACTGGTAAGGACTTGAAAATTTATGCTGAGCGAACCCCACCCCAACATCCAAAAACAACCAAACATCAACTGAAACAACTAAAAGACAGAGAATATGTGCACACTGCAGAAATAAATTAATGCAAGAAAAATCCAGAATAGACCATTATAGGTTCGTGATTACAATCCATACAGAAAAAATATATATATATATATTGAAGTCAGCTTTCTAAACAGACATAATAAGAAGTTATCCTTGGTTTAGTCAATTAGCACTGCAAAGTAGAGATGAAGTAAAAGGAGGGGTACCTTTTTCATTGAAAAAAAAAAAAAAAAAAAACAACAACAAATGGGACAGAGCAGCACAGTTCCACAGCAGTCATATAAATTAGAATCAATACAATGTTTAAAAAATGATTGCCTGCTTTGCAGCAGAAGAAATGGGGCATGGATTATTTCAACAGCCCCAAGCAGATGCAAGTTGTAGGGATTTAAGGTACATAGAATGTATGAGCCAGATAAGGTGTAATATGAACTTCAACTACAACAGTGGTGATTACCTTATCTCAACCAAGAACTGAAGGCATTGATCATATTCATTTACCATCTGTTGATATTTGACAATAAACACTCAATGACCAAGAACGTGATTTTCTCCCTAGTATATACAAATTCAAATTTAACTAATTACCAAATTACTACCTCTATCAAGTGTAAAATGTATCACACAGACACAGATGTCACCACGCACACTCATGCTTATTAAAATTAATACATTAAAATTCAAACCATATGTTGAATGGTGAAATATATTCATATTCCATGGTTTTACAAATTCATAAAATGTAAATGCCGAGAAAACTACTTCCATACATCCATATACAAGATAAGAGATTAATTCCAATCACCACAGGCCATAACGTGGAAATGCTTAGAGATCAGTGAATAAGGAAACAGAGTAAAGTAAAATTCTAATTAAAAAAATTCTAAACACAAAGCCTAAATATTTGCAACTATGTGCTGCTATAGATATTTTTATGCAGTTGGTAAAAGAATTATAATTCTCTTAAGATGTTTTCGTTTAATTGTTCTTCATACGAACTTTTCCCTCTATGAACAGAAAACCATTGCTTTTCATTAGATGATTCGCCTGATGACACTACATTATCACACCCAAGAATCTAAGTGGCAGCATATACATCTAGAATTACTTTATATTTCCTAAACCACTTCAACAACTATTTATAACATAGACCCATCAGATATCATTCCACTAATAAAATCTTGGTACTCAATTCATCATCTCAGTCATCTGCAGGACACATGTATAAGATGCAAAAACAGTATTTCTGTATCCCCCATCTCTGTACCCATAAGGTTGCGTGCGTGTTTAAAACTAATATGAAAAAATTTACATATGAAGATCACTTTGTACTGAGAAAAACTTCCACAAATAAGTGGCACTAGCCTCTGCAACATAATGTGGCCATGAAGTATTTCTATGCTTTTAACGTTAAGAATAAGTAGTGTTCCCTCCAAACAAGTATTACAAAGACCTAATAAACCTACACATACTCAATAACAGTTTCCAACTTGGGATGTCCAGTTGTTCACCACAAAGTTGCAAAATTTTGGGAGAAATGCATATCTTTTGAGTCGGCTTTTAACGTCTGTAGCACTTCTAAGTTCTAACACATATTACATTTCTATCTGTCATAATAACTTGCTGGCCCAATGCCTCACCTCCATGTTATTAGATTCAAACACAGTATTGAACAAACCCTAAGCTTTTTCCAATTCAACCCCTTAGTTTTCTCTTAGAAAGACACTCCAGTATAGCACCACCATGGAAATGGAAACACATGGATTCATGAATTTTTGCAAACCAAACACACAAGTATATAATAATCATCCATGAAGCATTTCCTCCTTCAAAGCAGAAGGAATTCAAGTAGAAACGAAAAAAGAACAGCTTTGTGATAACCAAACCCCAATTTATTCAAATTAAGTACTACAGACAGAAAGAGAGAGAACAATAATAATAAGCCATTGTAGATGCAAAAATACTCAAGATTTCAAATCCACCTCAAATTTTGAATCCAAATGAAAAAATGATATACTACGAATCCCATCATTAAACAACAACATAAGAGTCAACACCCACACAGATCTTCCTAGAAAAATGCACTAACCAAAGACTAGGCATTTCAACTTAGTAGCCACAATCGTTAAGGAGGTTTGGGTTCTGACCCTAATTTGATAAAACTGGGAACCCATTTAACCCAAAAGTTCCCATTTAACCCAAAAGACACAGTTTTAACATCCCATGCAAAAACCTGGTCACTCCCTGTGAATGAGGAATACTCTTACACACAAAAATCCAAGAAGATACAGCGAACAAATCAAACACTTAAAGAAAACTAATAAATAAATGCTACCCATCAACAAGTAAACGTAAATCTCTAAAACCTCCAGATATTTATTTAAACAAGAGCAGTCACTCCATCTCAACTAACAAGCAAAACCAAGAACCACAAACACATTCACACGCACACGCAAGTCTACAACAAAACCAAAAGAAAACTCACCAGGAAACAACACCTTCAGACTCAAGCCAACCCAAGAAATCCGAGCTCTCCCAAAAACAAAAAAAAATGGAAACAAACACCTGCGCACACCCACAATCTGGAAACTCCAAAGAAATAAATAGAAAACAGCGACGCCTCTGAAGCGCCTTAGGGTTTAGAGAGTCGAAACACGAAAAGCTTTGGGTTTAAGCCCCGGCGAGCACCGAGGAGCCTCAGATCCGGAAAAAGTACGTGAAACCACCGCCACCGCCGCCGCCGCCACGTATGTACCACCGATCCTTCTGCGTGCAAAAAATATAATCGAAGGAAAATAAATTATACGAAATTAGAAGAAAAATGGATTTTTAGTCGGCTCCCAGAAACTATTTTCAAGAGGACAATTCGAGGGAGGAATCCAAAAAGGGAAAAAAATGAAAATAAAGGGAAACAGAGACAGAGGGGCAAAGAGGTGTGTGCATAGAGACTTTTAACTATTACTGCGGTGATGACTGATGATGCGTATACATATACATATACATATACATACACACAGATAATAATAGATACATACATACGAGAAGCCGAAGCCCAAAGCCGAAGGCGGTATGGGAATGGAATGGGAATGGTAATGGTAATGCTAATGCTAATGGTAGGTTTTAGTACTGTGGGGAGGCGGACCCGATGGACGGTCCAGATTAGCTGATCTGGAGGCGTGATCTGGGTGGGGGTGATGAATGGACGGACGGATTGACGCGTCCACCCTACTCCAAACTTCAATATTTTTATTATTTATTTATTTAATTCTTATTTTTATTTTCTCTAGTTTGGAAGGGGATCGGACCGTCTCTTCAAAGTTCAACTTTTTTTCCTAAATTTTTTTAAAATATTTCGGGTGTGTTTGTTTTATAGTTTAATTTTAAATTTTTTTTTATTTGAACCATAAAGAATGATATAAATAATATAAAAATAATAAATAAATATAATATATTAAATTTTTTTTGTTAAATAAATAAACTCTTCTATCTTTTGTAAAGTATAACAGTTAGATACAAATTTTTTTTACTTTAATTCATTTTATAATAATTGACACATTGTATTTTTAATATACCATAAGACTCACTTAAATAAATAAAAATATTTTAAAATACATAAAATTTTATTTTTTTAATAAAATAGTATTCATATTATACGTATATTTTATTGAAATAATAATATTTAAAATATTTAAATATATATACTACATTTTCTATTTATATATATTAATTTAAATTTTAAAATTAAAGGTACGCCTTTTTTGGCAATAATACTAACCCATTACTCAAAAAAAAATTAATATATTACAGTTTTTGTCAAACATACTACTCAAAAAAATGTAATATACTACACATTTATGTATAGAGTAGATATTTTCGCAGGAGCATAATCGAGGCTAATTAATACATGGCTATCAAGGAGTTTTAAAATTTTGAAAATACTAAAAATTTATTGGATATATTATTTTACGAAATAAAAATATATCTGATTTGATATATGAATAGAAAAAAAAGCAGGCATTTCAAAATTTATTGTGTAAAGAAGTCTATACTTTATATCTTAAATTTCTATTCATTCGGTTAAAATTGTATTCTATTTGTTACCGTTGAAAGTACATTTTTATTATTTTCATTTGTCTGCTCAAAAATATTTGTTTATTATTATAGTAAAACTAATCACGCATTAATATCAAAATATTTTTTAAATTTTTACATATACAATTAATTTATACATAAGGACAAAAATTTCAAAATTATTTTACATATACCATTAATTTTTATTGTTGTTTGAGTATTGTTGGCTGGGGAATTAGCTAGAGATGTAAGTTGCAACCCTTTTTACCCTACCGTTGTTGTGTTTGGTAGTTTTTTTTTTTTTTTTAATTTTCATAATTTTTCATTAAAATCCATAGACTTGGAAGTTTATGAATTGTTGAATATCTCAATATTTTAAAAGAATTAAAAATATGTATTGAATACTCAAGATTTTAAAACACTTTTAAAAATCCAATTGAATACTTCTATATTTTAAAAGACAAATACACCCAAATTTTGAAAGTCCAACAAATTCCTATACAGTCTAAATTGAATACACTCCTTAAATCTACACACAAAAAACATTTAATTTCAAACATATATTAAAATTCAAATAAAAATCAATTTCAAATTCAAATTCAATTTTTTTAAACCACTCTAAAGAAACACACATTGTTTTAATAAATTTATAATTTGCAATTTATTATAAAATAATGGTATATATAGGGCACAAATTAATTTACATATACTATTAATTTATACATAAAATATTAAGGGCAAAAATTTCAAAAATATTTTACATATACTATTAATTTTTATTATTGTTTAGGTACTGTTGACTTGAAAATTAATTAGAGATCTAAATTGCAACCATTTTTACTTGACAGTTGTTGTGTTTGATAGCTTCTTTTTTTTTTTTTTTAAATGTAATTAAATAAAATATATACAACATATATGTCATTTTATAGATAATAAAAGTTTTTATAATAAAAAAAAATAAAAAATATATAGTATATTTATATAATATAATTTTATAATCAAATTATACCATTATTAATTTTAAAATTTATATTAGTAGATATTTATATTATTATATTTATTATCCATCAAATCAATACATATCAAAATTCTCTAAACTCAAACCAAATCTACACACAAAAAAAACACATAATTTCAAACATATATTAAAATTCAAATAAAAATAAAAATCAAACTCAAACTCAATTTTTTAAACCACCGTAGAGAAGAAACACACCTTGTTTTAATAAATTTATAGTTTGCAATTTATTATAAAATAATGGTATATATATGGCAAAAATTAATATACATATAGCATTAATTTATACATAAAATACAAAGGGCAAAATTTTCAAAATTATTTTACAAATATCATTAATTTTTATTATAGTTTGGGTACTATTGACTTGGGAATTAGCTAGAGGTCTGAGTTACAATTCTTTTTATCTGTCAGTTTGACAGTTGTTGTGTTTGACAGCTTTTTTTTTACTCTTCTTCTAATTTGTTTTTTTTTTTAAATTTGAATATTATAGGGTGTGTGAAGACTCTAAAGTAATTGTTTATAATTATTTATATTATAATTAAATAAAATATATACAACATATATATTTTTATAATAAAAATAAATAAAAATTTAAAAATATATAGTATATTTATATAATTTAATTTCATAATCAAATCATACCATTATTAATTTTAAAAATTTATATTTAGTAGATATTTATATTATTCATATTCATTATCCATCGAATTAATACATATCAAAACCCTCCAAACTCAAACCAAATCTACACACAAAAGAAACACATAATTTCAAACATATATTAAAATTTAAATAAAAATCAAATTCAAATTCAAATAATAAATTTAGTTTGCAATTTATTATAAAATAATGGTATATATAGGGCAAAAATTAATTTACATATACAACTAATTTATATATAAAATACAAACGGTAAAAATTATAAAATTATTCTACATATACCATTAATTTTTATAATTGTTTGGGTACTGTTTGCTTGAGAATTAGGGAGATGTCTGAGTTGCAACATTTCTTACCTGTCAGTTGTTGTGTTTGACGGCTTTTCTTTCTTTCTTTCTTTTTTTTTTTTAATTTGAAAATAACAGGTCTATAGAGACTCTTCTAAAGTAATTGTTTATAATTATTTATATTATAATTAAATAAAATATATACAAGATATATGTCATTTTGCAGATAATAAATTTTTTATAATAAAAATAAATAAAATTTTAAAAATATACAGTATATTTATATAATATAATTTCATAATCAAATCATATCATTATTAATTTAAAAAATTTATATTTAGGGTGTGTTTGTTTGAAGGATTTTGGAGGATTTCTACTATTCATCCAATTTTTTCCCCCCAAAAACATCACATCAAACACCTATTTTTCATTTTTTATATTATACTAAAAATCAATTTTACATTCAAAACATCACATCAAACCCTATTTATATCACATCATACAACTATTCAAATTCAAAATTTTTACTATTCAAATCCCAATCCAAAATCCAAACCCCCAAACAAACACACCCTAAGACATTTATATTATTATATTTATTATCCATTAAATCAATACATATCAAAATTCTCTAAATTCAAACCAAATCTACACACAAAACAAACACATAATTTCAAACATATATTAAAATTAAAATAAAAATAAAGCTCAAACTCAATTTTTTAAAACCACTCTAAAAAAAACACACCTTATTTAATAAATTTATAGTTTGCAATTTATTATAAAATAATAGTATATATAGGGCAAAAATTAATTTACATATACAATTAATTTATATATAAAACACAAATGACAAAAATTTCAAAATTAATTTACATATACCATTAATTTTTATTATTGTTTGGGTACTGTTGACTTGGGAATTAGTTAGAGGTCTAAGTTGCAGTTTTTTTACCAGACAGTTGTTGTGTTTTGACAGTTTTTTTTTTCTTTTTAAATTTGAAAAATACAAGGTCTGTTATAGACCTTTTTAAAATATTTGTTTATAATTATTTATATTATAATTAAATAAAATATATATCAAATGGAACTATTAATATAGCTCGTTTGGACGAGTATGCGGTGTTCATAGGAATGAGGTTCATGGACCATGTCAAGCCCATAATGGTCCCGCATGAGCAAAGGTTCACAATCACAGAGTGTGGGACGGCATTGCCCTCAATGCCTCTAAGGCATGAGTACACTCATCAAAGAACCATACACCTTTGGTCTCCCTCCAGCTCGTCTTGGACTTAGATAATCCATACCATCTAGTCGGGAACTTCACCAGCAGGGGTCGACTCAGGTGTCCGGCCGTCCGTGACATCCTCCCCTACTTGAACTAGGCATCGCCCTCAATGTCTAAGTCATGAGTACACTTCTCAAATAACTATACACCTTTGGTCTCCCTCCAGCTCGTCATTTTGTAGATAATAATTTTTTTTATAATAAAAATAAATAAAATTTTAAAAATATATAGTATATTTATATAATATAATTTCATAATCAAATCATACTATTATTAATTTTAAAATTTATATTAGTAGACATTTATATTATTATATTTATTGTCCATCAAATCAATACATCTCAAAATTCTCTAAACTCAAACCAAATATACACACAAAATAAACACATAATTACAAATATATATTATAAGTCAAATAAAAATCAAAATTCAAATTCAAAATTTTCGGACCGCTCTAAAGAAACACACCTTGTTTAATAAATTTATAGTTTACAATTTATTATAAAATAATGATATCTATGATTGGTTTAGATTTAACTTAAAACTAAAATTTTATTGTTCAATTTTTACAGATCCCAAAGAGAGTGAGTGTGTTTATTTGTGAAATTTTAGACTAAATTTTACTATTTTAAAAAGTAAATA